AATGGTAAATAGATCAAGCCCGTGGGACTCAAAGGGTCAAAAGGCTAAAAAACACAATACAAACAATCCAACTCCAAACTAGGAGAGAACCAAAAGAACCCCCTAGCTAGTGCCCAAAGCACTAGAACAGTAACTAATAATATCTCTAATGTAACAACCTAAATCATAAGGCTCGAGTTGAAGCAGAGAAAAGAAATTCTCGACATCAACTTTATGCGCTACTCGAATCTCTATATATCTAGTACAAGTAATAAACACATGCTCTTCATCCTCAACATTTCTCCCATCACATAGCCTACAAATCCGTTCACTCCTATCAATATTCAACCAACGTCCTTCCTCAATTCCAAGCCTATGAGATCCTGTTCTATGCCTGACAATAATATGACGTAAAGATGTAGCAATCTCTACAACAAGGTACCCTTGCTCACAATAAATAAGCATAGGATTCACATGAAGTTGATAAAACTGCATTTTAGTGCCTCCTCTCCTCCAAATGATGTTGAGAAACTCCTCCTTAATACGCTCGCGAAGGGCCATAGGTTGCAGATCCCAATCCGATTCCGTCACATTCCACCTCAAAGACCAAGTCATCACATCTGCAAACCATCCCTTGGAACGTGTGGCACGCAAAGCATGAAGAGGAAGTCGAGAAGCATCAAGAGATCTCACCCTTCTAATATAAGTGATGGTCAAGTAGAGAGCTTCAGCCTCAAGAGGTAGACAACCGGTTTCCGCAAGAAGAATAGCATAAGGAGTTTGGTTCCTTACACCTAACTCTTCTTGTAAGAAGATCTTTTGCACCCTCTCCACGCGCTCCCAACTTGTCTTCTTACTGCCAGGACCCCACACTTGTGTCCCATATAGAACCACCGGCAACACTAAACTCCTAAATAAAAATTTCCTAAGACTCCAAGATACTAGATGAGCTCTTCTACATCGATTTAACAATGAATATAGAGCTTTGTAACCAGCTTCTATTCTCTTTTGTACACAAAGTGCCCAACTATAATTCTGAGAAAAATCAATGCCTAAATATTTGTAACTCTTCACTTGTTCCAATTCTAGTCCCTTGTAAAAGAAAGAGAACTCGGATCTAGTGCCCACAAGAGTGAGAGAGACGGAACATCGTCACGAGGGTGGGCCGCCGCCATTCGGCGCGAAGAATTTGGAGCGCCACCGGCCGACTGACAGACTCATGACTGCGATGTGGTGGCACCGTGACACCGGTCCGGACTCTGCACGCAGCAGACAGAGGTGATCGGGACCGGGAGGAGGGCAGCCCTCGCGCGACGCCCCAAGTCAGTCAACTTGGCGCAGGCTCAGGCAGGCGATTCGAGGGCGATCTCGCCCTGGATTGCATGCATAACGCACACTCTCCCGCCTGTCCCTTCCAAGCGGGCCACGGGCCGCAGCCTATCCCGCCGTCGGCGCGGCCAATTGGGGTCGCGCATGACTCGCGAAGAGACGCGCCGCGACGGACGCGAGGGAGGAGCGGGGAGCAGAGAAGAGCTGAGCTCTTGCGTTTCGGGACGGCCTGGGGTGGCGTCAGTCCACAGGGTCGCGCGGGGCAGGGCTACGCTTTGTCCGGTGTCGGGCTTGTCAGGCGACCGGGTCGGGAGTGGAGCGGCTCGAGGTGCGAAAGTTTTCCTTTGCGGAAGTGAGAGACACACAAAAAATGTGAAGACCTCCTTGAACTACATGAGTTGATAATGAAGAATGATGAGTATTATTCATCAGTCCACTACCATCATGCAATGTTCATGTATGTAATCCAAATGCACATTTCAAACGACTCATCAAGGGGATTGTTTGCGGGAAAACGATGAGGAGAATATCAGTGTATATGAATTTCATTCCATGTAAATTAGAATGTGACATTTTCAACCGCAGGACCACTTTGCATGATACAAATGTGGACATCAATGACAAATCATCTAAGGAAAGTTACGAATCCAATCCAGCCAAATTGATTATTGGATTTGAGTCTATGGAGAGATGGATCAACTATTGGTTGGATTATCTTACAAACACAATGTACAAGACTTTAGGTTCTGACTTAAAATATTAATGCTCGAAAGTCAAAGATAATCTTTTCTTTGAATGTTATTTGCAGGAGGATTTTGTGTCTTTCAAAACTGCGGTGCTAAAGAAAAGTCCACCAAAATTCTTATGTTTAAAAAGATTTGAGCAAGGCATATTCTTCTAAAAACATCACATAAGATGAGAGAGAGAAAATTGAGGACATACATAATAATAAACGAGAGATGTTTTTATTAAAAATATACAACTTGAAAATGTTCATGAGAAAATGTATGACACACCTGTGATTTTTTATATGTTTTCTGAAATAAAACTGTATAGAAATTTATCTTTACAAGAATGGTGATGTACTTCCAATCAATACATATGTTTAATGTTTCCCGACAAAAGAACTAAGGAATAAATCCACAGAATTGAAGTGGTAAAAAATAAGGGTATGCTTTCATCTTCTTCTTCTTTTCATTCAGAGAAAAAATTGTGTAAGTAAACATTCAAGGAAGAATCTAATGTTCCTCATGATCAAATCGTATTGTATCAAAAATCAGACGTCAATATCTATGTGTTGGCAGTTGTTTTCAAGTAAAGACGACTCTCACTTCCTCTTCAAACTAATAATAATTCCACCTGGAAAATTTTGAGATTTTTCAATGGACATCAAAACCTTCTTATAAAATTGAATTTTGTATTAAGCTCAATTATGTCAAAACATGCTTTTGGATATATAAATTTCATCAATAATCCATAAGTAGTTGTTTTTGTTTTCAAAGACACATGAATTCTCCACAATGTAATACAAAATCTTTACAAAATAAAAAATTCTCATCTGATTTCTCCAATCTTGAATTATATAATCATATTAATATGTATTAATAAACACCAACTTTTTGAACTTAATGACTCTCTGATTTATTTTCATTTCAAGTTTATTATTTTAAGAGAACGCTCATTAAGAATTGACATAAATAAATATTATTAACGTGATTACTTTTTACTTAAATCTTTGATTTAATGTATAAAAATTCAATAATTTAGAAACAACATATAATAAAATCAAAAATAAGATAAAAATAATCATATTGATAATAATTAATTTTACTCAAAGAATGATTTTTTATTGTATATTTTAATATATTTGGATGAATTTTTTTTACAAATTCATGGAGCTGATAATTTGAAGAAATAAAAAAACCTAGATTTTGATTACACACATTTTTTATAAATGATCAAATTTTCAAAAACGAGATAGTTTAAAGGTTTTGAAATCTATAAAAATGTTATTCTGAGATCAATGATAATCAGATTTTACATGCACTTTGATAAAAAATTATTTGGAGTCAAAGAGTCTCATGATATAATATTTTTAATTTCAATGAACGAACTACTAAGAGATAACCTTGAAATTTAAATATGATTTAATTTTTCTTGATATATACCATTATTTAAAATATATATATTTGTGAAAATAAACACATACAAATATATTTGAATCATAAGAGCACAATTAATATATTGACAATGACAATCTTATTTTGAAATTATGCCGATTTAGAATTAATGATATACATTTTTATAAGTGAAACTATTAGATCATATTAACATAGAATAGAAAGATGATATTGATATAGTGATGAAATAAAAACACAGAAAGTTTAAAAGGGATTCATGGTAAAATTTTTTGAATAAAAGTTGCTTCAATAGTCGTATATATCATGAGACAACTAATTTGATTTATTGCATCACTTAGTCTAGCATACAACTATTTTGTCTAGCTGAGGACTTTTTGACATAATTATAAATACAAAAGTGAAGAAATTTGACAAAGAATTTTGATGAAGAGAAACATGGTCCAGAATTCTAACAATGTAATAAGTATGCATAAAATTGACTCATGTCAATACATGCGCTTACATACATGAAGAAAGTAATAGTGCAAGTGCAAGTAATACAAAAACACACATTATCAAATCTGTCAGTAGTGGATTAATGGAAGTTGAATTCTTTGCCGATGGAGATATGCAAAGTCATTTGTAATGTTCAGCAGTGTGTGGGAAGGAAGAAAACCTCAACTTGGTAATTAAGAAGAATTTCTTGTGTAATATAAACTTTTCGCTCTTCACTCCTACTTACTTACCTTGTTTACGTCCAGTCCAGCCCAGCCCAGCCCAGGCCCTGCTTTTCAGAAATTTGCACCTGTGAGGAGAATGATGCTTGTTCCCATGGCTCTTAGGATATTATTCTTTCATGAATCATTTTGTCATCCACGCTGAAAAGGGAGTGGATAACTCTACCCTTCTAGTTCGTCACTATGTTTTTGGTTTGGTCGGGTGGACTTTGCTCTCACGTGGTCAAGAATCTATGTATACTATAAATATATATACACACACAAATTTCGATTACATGTACTCAACACGACGGGCAAAAGCTATCACTGGAATGAAAAGGTGTGCAAAACCGTTATCTGCAGAATACAGATAACGGTATTTGTATTTGTATGTTGCATGAACCTACTTGAAGCAAGACAGTGCAGCAGTAGTATCTATGATGACGAAGCAACAGGCATGCAACTATCGAACAGACTGGAAGAATAATGTGAGTAGGTACCACATAGATTGGTAGCACGCGTACATTCCTTTGATGCAGAAAATATGCTCAACTCGGCAGCCACACCTTAGTGCTGGAAAGTTTGACGGTCACTATATTATTACCTGCAGCATACAAAGTGATTTGTATGCTGCCTACTGGAGAGTACTGCTGCTGTACCGGAGAATGTGGACAGGCAATTTAGTTGAACTCAACGTTGAAATCAGTCAAGATTCTGATATGATACTCGACTCCACAATACTTCTCACGACTGGACATGTTTCGATCGTGAGGTTACAAGTTGTAAAATGTTAGTGAAAATCTGAACAAAATCTAAAAATCTTGGTATCCCCACGAGATTGAAATAAGATATGAGGCCACTTTTACATAAGAGTCGAATTTATTGTAAACTGAGGGTTTCAGCAGCTCCCATAAGCTTTACAAAACTGACATGTGGTATTGTGAGACCAGGATTTACAAATGCTCTTCACAAGTCTCGAGTTCTATGTTCAGCTCTGTTCAGCTTCAGCTCCTTTTTCACTGCCTCTAGAAGCAGCGAAAAACTCGACTAAATCAACGCCTGTTCTGCTGAGTTCTCAGCATTTGAGCAGGCGGCCACCACATTTACGAAAGAGCTGCATGAACTGTGACAAATTCAATCCATTCTCCTTAATGAATTGGCAAATGCAGGAGTCAGCAACGGTGTACAGAGTGCCCAGTGAGTAGCAGCACCCATCTAGAGGGCATGGTTCCTTAATGTCCTGCTTAGCCAGACATGGTGACTTTCCTCCCACCAGTCCCTGCTTGATAAAATCGCGATTGCATTCACGAGTGCATTGAGCATGGACGGCCCTGAACTGTACGCAGAGCCCCAACAGCAGGACTGAGACCAGTGTGACACTCAGGGAGTTGAGTTTCGCCATCGTCAAGTGACAGGTAAGCTGAAGGTCTGGATACTTAAATAAAAACTCGATGGCGAATCTGGTGAGAAACTATCACCTGCTTTATCAACTTAGGCCTTTGGTCCCTGGTTTTATACACAAGAATGTCAACGTATCCTACCAAGTGAAGTGCAAAGTACCTCTTTCCGGCCGAACACAATTGTCAACTCCATTAGAAGGCGACACTCATTGAAGCGTGCGTGAAAGTGTGCACGTCGAAGCTTGGAGTCAGATCCTGTTGCTGAAATCACTTCTCCGTTGGCACGAGGACCAAATCCAATAATAGGATCTGACTTCGTGCGTGTTACACGTTGTATCAAGACCGACGTTTGATATCATGCACGGTTGATCAAGGTTCTATTTACGCCATCGCATGGGCTCTATCACGAGGAAGCTGCTATCCTTGGGCAAGATTCCAGTCGTGGAAGTAGACATTTTCTTTGGGTAATATCTCAAGTATGACTTCGAGTGGAGCCAGTAAAATTGCCGGTCCAGGAATGTATGGCTTTGTCAGATTTGATATCATTCATCGTTCCTGCTTCAAAGCAAATGAGAATAGATCGCTTTGTAGTTTTCAATTAGACGACTGTAAATCGATATTTCAAGAATGATCCACTGTCCTTTCTCGTGGGCTGAATCTGGATGTGGAATCTATCCAGATTTTTAAAAGTTGAATTTTCGAAATGTGCAGTCATCAACAATCATTTGTAAACTACAGAATCCAGACTAAATTACGCAACATACGATGCAAGATGAAGACCTGACCAATTGATGATTTTCGAATACTACTAATTTGTAACTTTTGAGTTCCAGATTTTGAAGTAATTTTAAAGATTTCACGGTTTTACCTGGATTCCTATTATCTCAGAACTTCGGTGTTCTTAGTTGCGCATGTTCAAGTCAAAAACCAGTTCATTCCAATAATAATTGTACTTCAAGGGATCCTTCTTACTACCGAGAATTCTTGTCCAAAATCATCAGAGAATTTTTAAATCATATTCAAGTGATCAGAGAGGCTACGATGGCAACACTTCAGCTTTTTAGTGTAACTTCACTCCTAAATCCAAACAAATTGCTACTATATAATGATTGACTGTCTCGAAACCTCTCGAAACCACTGACACCGTCATCAAAGAATCAAAATGGTTAAATTCCACGTACGAACTTCAACTCAGACACCGAGAGGAGTCTGCAATGTCTGAGCTAAATGGAAATTCCCCGAAGAGAAAAAAAATCTTATAAAGTAACCAACCTACGCTGTTTTGTTTCCAAGACTTTGGCATTGACATCAAAGTAGGTCTATCTGTTCTAAAGCTTCTCAGGTCCCCCCATTGGCTTGAAACTTGTTGCAAACCTACTGGTCGAGATGAGTCTTCTGCCAGATGAACGGTTGCTGCAGGAAGAAGGTCATGAAAAACGCTGGAGCTTTTCTTCATCCACTTCTTCATGGATTTCCCTCATTCATGAAGTTGAGGATAACGACAACAGAAAATGGAACGGTAATAACTTTCACAGTCTCGTCAGACCGAACAGAGCATACACACAAGTCAATTAACAGGGCTACTCCTTCCCCTCAAGACAAGCTTCAGACTGAGCCTGGAGTGGATCTTTCCGTTCTGTTTTTGTGGCAAAATCCCATATGATAATTTGCCCAATTGTTCCAGGACCGGTTTCTTGTGCAGAATTGTATCTATGATGATTAACTTTGAGGCCGTCGAGTCTTGGACTCAGATTGCGTTGTAAAGCTTGTCGTGTGTACTGCTTTGACTATTCAGGTCAATGTTCTGGCATTAGTGAACCTGTTAAAACCCTTCTAACATGATGACGGAATGTAGATCAATCACATCGAAGCCGAAGTAATACTAATACTCATATGAGGCATATCAGCTTTCATGAAAAGTCTTTCATGATTTGACACACATCATATACTGAGGAACCATGTTCAACTCTTACATACACCACCCTCTACTGCAAATTCCAATATAGTTGATGCTTGATTTCCATTTGTTAGACTCCAGCGTGGTAAGGATAACCCTCGACACTACTTAGTGTCAAAGGTTTCTTATCTTACTTTTCAAGTGCTTTATCTGATGCTACGAGCCAAACATATGTCAGGATCCCAAATGGTCCTGCTTCAGTAGTACCAAGTATACAGAATGCGTCTTTGTGGCACCAGCAACCTGTCCAAATTAGATATTCCAAGATCCTTTCACTGAACTTCTGTTTGAAGCCATGAAAATAAAAGCTAGGAAACCTCCTTACGATCTTGCAAGTGCTTTGTTCAGCTGCATGTTTTCCAGGTAGTTTTCTAAACGAACGCACCACCAACTTGAGCATAGGATACATTTATCAGTAGGATTGATCGTGACCTTTCAACCATGTAGTATTGCGTAGTCCCAAATAGGAATATAGTGATAGACCGAGTACTGTGTATTACTTGGAAAGTTGGGATTCTATTTTCTTGTTTCCATATTCTCACATGGTGGCCATTAGCAGTGTAACCACGTGTGATGCTCATCTATACACTTGGTTAATCATGGGCACGCTATAAAGGTCCCATGAAAGCTCGAGTTCAATCAGAGCAAGCACGTCTTTCGAGGTCAATGAATGTAGATAGATAATAAACATGCCTTGGTCAACTCTGGGACTGTGACACCCGGAAGTTATAGCCTAGAGTTGTAAAAAATCGTGCAAGTCTTGGTCGTGCAAAAAGAGTTTCCAGCCCATTGCAGGTAGGATCCGGATGTGCCTGCCATAACCTCGGCCTCAAAACCTCATATAATTCTGCAACACCTGAAGTGTTTCTAGGCCAAGTGCCAATCTCAATCTACGTCTGTCTTCCTGTGCAAGTAGAGAAAATTAATCTCAACCCTCTACCTTTGCAATGGGCAAACTGCGGATCACGTTGACAGCGCTCGCAATTTCAGTCCTGATGTTTTATACGCATCCAGCTGGAGCCCAGTGCGGAAAATGTGATTCCAAGTTCGTAGAGAGTGCACTGCTGAAATGCAAACCATGCCCCGTTTGTAAATTTGCCTGCTTTCAGAGCACATGCTGCTATGCTTTAGGGACTCTAGGCAACGTCACGGATGCTTGCATGTGCAAAGCTATCTACAATCTTGGGCTGGAATCTATCGGGCTCAATGATCAGTTTCGGCTCTGTTCCAGAAACCAGACGGTCCGGAAATTAAATTGCTGTTTGCCCACATAAAAGTCGAATAATGGTCGACGATGGTTAGTGAAAAATTTGCCTTCGAATTCTCCGTGGTTGGAATGGAATTTGCTTCACAGAGCTTCTTCTCATGAATAAACCTCAGCTATTTCTCAAGTGCTTGTACGTGATAAGTTTGTGCCAAGAGCAATTAACATCTGCTTGAATTGGTAAAGAGAACATTTGCTTGGGAACACGTAGAAGAGATTGTCTGAAGTAATTTATGTATATTATCCCTTTCTTGGACTAACCCAGCAAGTAATTTCGGTCTTGGATCAGGGACAGATCGCGATCGATATCAACACGATTCAGTGGTGAGGATCTTGAGTACATATATTACTTCTTCCGATAGGCAAAGATCAGAGGTCTATAGTTCATATTAATGTTGAGCTTCTTCGTGGTGAGCTCTGATGCAGTTGCTACAGCTGAATTATAATGAACAGAAGAAGCAGAAGGGCATCATGAGAACACAACATGATTCTTGCCAGTTACCTGCAATATTTGTTATAGTAATCCAGCACGAGGTTTTAAGATGCATTCTCTTATATGTCCAAAATAACGTGAGAGGAGAAGCTCTGAATCAGAAGCCTGGACATTTTCATTTTTAATAAATTATCCTCGACCTGCAGTATTCAAGGATTGAAAAATATCACCCAAGAAGAGGATTGCATGAAAACAACAATGATCCCTATCACCTCCATGTTTCAGACAGATGATTCAAATCTGTAGCATTGCAGGATCAGCAATTAGTAGGAAAGCGAGTTAGCTGGACTTTCCCTCCAACATATTCAGGCAATCAATCTATTTCCATCCCGTTCTGCATTCTTTGAGGTGCAGTGTTGAGATCGTACGTATAGCTGTAGGGCAACAAACAGATTCAGACTTGTAATGACACCCGCTGATACACAAGGATGTGGAAGTCAGGAAGTACGTCGATAGTTTTCCATCCTACTTTAGTTTTGCAATCCAATATAAATATTTGCACTCTGGGATATAATTTGCTACAAAAATTCGATCACACCCAAAACATTTGGCCCGGCTGAGTGTCCCCTACTCGTTAAATTGTAGTGTGAAAACTACACAATCGCATACACTTGATTCAGGTGAACCAGCGTGTCGGTTCATCTCTTTGATATATCAGAGCCTAATTGGGTGCTCTTTGAGATCATTCCATTGTTTCGGCTTTCCAGTAGAAACCGTTGGTTTCCCCTTTCAACTGTGCGCTTTGTTCTGTGCACATACTCAAATTGTCGGAGTATGTCTTCCTGGATATTAAATCAAATCACGACTCCAAAGTATCATAGAGTATGTCTTGCTGGATTCTAGATTAAATCAGGACTCCAAACTATTACAGAGCATGTCTTGCTCTATTCTAGATCAAATCAGGACTCCAGAGGATAGCAGTCTGTAGACCAGAGACAGATGAGATCTGTCCGCAAGACAAAGCCTCGAGTATCAAAACAAAACTTTCCTACAATCAAGGTAATTTGGATGAACAATATCAGGTCATGATCACTTCGCATACTGAATTCCAATCTTCTAGATTTATGGTATCACTTGTTATGGAAAATTATCACTGAGTCTCTGTCAAGTCCGTTATGGCCATCCTTGACTTCGGAATATCTTCTGACTTCTGACTACATCTCTGTTATTAAACAGAAATGTAGTTAACACATTCGCATATTATGTATGCGACAACATGCAAACTTACTAGCCCTCAACTTAACCTCAAATTCTTCACTACGACCCTACTGGTCTCATTCTTCATGGCCTAGTGATCTCAATCTTCGTCGCTATTATATGAGTAGCTATATAGCAATTTCAGTGTTCACTGAAAGCGATCGGCTTGTCTTTCTCGGACATGCAGTTTACTGAGAGGCAGGATGAACTGGAACCCCAAATACTGTTTAGACGACAAGTTGAGAAAAAAAAACCCTGGACGCACTTCAACGAAGACTTGGGAGACAAGCCGAGTGGTGAGATAAATAGGATTATGCGTGTCGCTCATTTGATTTACCTCTATTCGCTCTAGATTGCTTCGTATGCAACTTCAGGACAAAGGCGTGCTCTCATTTGAACCATGTTCCACTCTCTCAGAAGTAGTTTGGATCTACTCATACTGGAGCCCTGCTAGTTATAGTTACAGATTTCGAAATTAGACACGATGATTTTCCATTTTGTGTAGACTCATGCATTTGATCTAATTCTAGTTCATGCCCGGCTGATCTGGCTAAACATCTTAGGGCAACTATACGAAAATTTGTAATTCGCACTTGAATGCTCAGACTTCACTATTTAGTTGATCGTCTATTGGTCAGAGTCATACCGTAACTTGACATCGTCATGTAAGCCGAGCTAAGCGTCGTCCACTTTCGCATATAGATAGGGCCTGAGATCAATGCTCCTAAAGGCTTTTACAACAGTTGGCTGCATCATTGGAGTCGATAATACCTCTACCGTGGCATTTGGACGCATTTAAAGTATGCTGCGAACCAAACGAGCATATGAGCCAAGTAAATGTAGAGGCTTGGTCAAAAGCAGCGTTCTGTCCACATACCTGAAGCATACTGCACAGTAGCACCTCATACTCATCAACAAATACTTCGTTCCCATTGCATCTAGCGTAAAGTACACTGTGCATTACGACGGCAGTTCAGGCGCCTCACAATGCTGTAAGCATCTCGTTGTGAAAGACCTGCCACGTTTGTTGGTCTCGTTTCAATATAGCCATCTCTCAATGACCTGCACTTTCCGTTCCACATCTTAGATCAGAAGGGCTAATAATTTCGACGTGCAGGAAGTCAACTCCGGCGACTTTCTTCCAGCTCTGGTTCTTCAAAAGTAAATCATTCGCCTCTAATCATGTCCATGGAGCAAGCGACGAGCTAAGTGCTCAAAAGTTCTTGACTCTTTGACGTTGTCCAAGCCCGAGATTTAGACATCTGGTCTTCTCTCCAGAAATCGACCTGTGTAACAGATATCGTAATCTCTGACTGACGTCCACTTCTCGGAGCTTGAGAGATGGGGAAATCTCAATACCTCAATGCGTCGTTGTTCATCGTGATGGCTATGTCGGTGATCTCATCACAGACCTTCTTCACTGTCAACGCTCAATCTCAATGCGTGAGCATATGCACCAACAATGCCACGCAGTACATCAGGCAACAACTGGATCTCTGCGCAGAGGATGTCACAAATCCGCAATTCTGCCCCAGAACTGACTGCTGCTACGCAGTCGGCAATCTGAGACACACAAACAACGCGTGTATCTGCAGAGCAGCCCAACAATATTTCTCTCCTGACGTACAGAAAGAATATAATAGGATCATATACGGCTGTTCGGGAAGTGAGAGGAACATTACATGCCTCCTCTGACATGGTGAGTTATTCATCTTCTATGGGAAGCCTTGCTCTATATCTTGATTACTCCACATTGATTCCGTCTCGCTGATGCTACGCTTGGATTGCTAACAAGGCTAGTTTGAGATTCAGGAGGAACCAGTTTGTACTTCGTCTGGCAGATGCTTCGTTTGAGTTGACAAGAAAGAAAGTAATTTCATTATTTCACTAGTATTTCCTTCTGGCTTTTCACATGAAGAATCCACGTGTGTGAGCTTCTAATACCTGGTCAAAATACATGAAACTCGACAAGAATGCATTGAATGTATATGATTTCTTAGTTCTCTCATTTACTATTTTTTTTATAACTCTCAGGTGCCGATGAAAGCTGAAGGGACGGCAAGGCTTTGAAGCTCAGATCTGCATCCGAAATCACCCGGCGTTATACTCTAGACTTGACCTCGGACCGTAGATGCGCGGGGCTGGTAATCATATCGTGTACGCAACTAGAAAGGAAACCAAAACATGATTTTAGTAAAAAACATACTTCTGAATTTATACGTGTCGCAGTTACTACATTTTGATACAGCTCTTTGAAATCCCAAGAGCATTGTAACGCTTGAATGCAACTGATGCAGGGTGAATTTTGCCTTATATTATGAGAGCTTCAGAGCTATCCTCTAAAGCAGCTAGTATCTCTTTCCTTCAGAAGACTTTCGAGAATTTTCTGTCTTCAAGCTTCTAAGAGTTGAAACAAGGTTACTAAGAGGTAGCATTTGTGAAGTGTAGATACTTCAAACATAGATCAAGCAGCAGGACAATATCCCCCATTGACAGATCTTTTCTTCTCTTACAAAATCGGAGCTACTCAGCTTCCTGTTACACTTCATAGAAGCGATTGAGGTTCCTTCTATACAAGATTTTGTATCATCAAATATTAAAAAAGTTTGCATTCAACACTATGTCAGACTACAAATGTATTCATGAGTTTCTCGCAATAGCTATGAGAGTAAGATCAAGTTCCATTCCATGTTCACAGCTTGCGAATCCCTGCATATCATTCGGAACTTCACAACAACACGTACAATATATTAACAGTTCTCAACTGACTTGTTTGGACAACCTTTTCCTTGCACACATCCGTTTGGATGTTCAGTCTTCCTCCAAGTTAATGCAATGATTTGCGGAGAACCTGTGTATGGACTGCTAAATAATTGCAATGACCAGCTAATAAGGACCATGATATCATGTGTCAAGGCCCTCGAGTCTCAGATGACTGAAGAAAATGAGAGCCTTTAACAGCAAGCAGATTTTACTTTTCAAGGACTCTTCATTTTTCTTCTATCATAGTATAAAATCATCTGACGTAAGATTAAGGTATGCACAGGAAATCTAGATACGGCCACGATACTTGGCCTTAGTAGATACAAAAGGGTAGCTATGGTGAAATCATAGCCAGAATCATTGAAGGTCTTCAACATCAAACTCCAGAAACAAACAAATTGAAATTTATGGCTTCAAACTCCCTGCAACTCCAGAACGTCATTTCATCTCGCTTTAAGAGAGAAAGTTGAGAAACATCAGAAAGATTTACGTATTCTCAGACTTTCTTACACTATGATCCTAAAATAAAAGAAGTTCACGTTATCATATCTATAACGTGAACTTACAAATGTTTACAAATGCGAGAATTTTAACTTCGAGTTGTGGCAATCAAACCAGCGTGATACCCGAGCGTACAGTAGTACACGTCCTACACACGAGTCTAATTATAAATGATATTATCGGAGAAAATGGACTGGATCCCCATCCTCTCAAATCCAGAAACAAAGTTTTAATTAATGCCGGATTTGACATGTTCCAGTATATCGTAAATTTTCGAAGAAATTTCAGGCTGTTTATAGTAGTATTTGAAATCGCTGGTAGGAATCCTTTTTAGTTATTTACTTTTCCACCCGTAACCTTAAATACAGGAGGGCGAGTCAACTTAAAACTACAACAGTCGTTCTACTATTTTCCATTCAGAAAATTAGCACCATTATATTCAGTTGCATTCCAAATACAGGCGTGCAAAGATATGGGACCATAAAAATTTTGGATTGCAGGACAGAAAATTATCATCCCTAGCCTTTGTAAATAACTCCCCGTCCATGCAGAAGAAATGTCGACGTCGTGATCTAGTAAGTCTCGTGACAAGCGTAGCATGATTTCAAATACTAGATAATGACGAAGCCATATCTTGGAAAGTGAGTTTAGAACGTGAGCGCTGCTAACCTGTGGAGCTTGGCTTGAAGGCGTTGACACGAATACTTATTCATACGCTTATAAGTTAGAATATGTTTCCTCTTCCAGGACACAGAAAGTTTCCAAGAATTTCAAGAGTGACAAGGAACGAATGTGGATTCAAACTAAAGTAATGTTGTTGACAGAGCATGTCTTGGCTAGCATGGAACTGAAGCCCAAATATCTGTACCACCACACCTTCATGGTCGAAATCCGTCATCTCGTCTCTGACTTTAGCATGTAACCTCATAATTTAAGCTGCAACGTATTCAAGCAGCGCTTTGTGTGAAACCAATTTGCCACCGGATTCTGCAAATAATACTGGATGTAAACGACAGAAGCTAGAGATGGAATCAGTCCCCATATTTAGTCTTGATTACTTACGAACAACAAACTTGAATCTATGTTGCGGTCCTTCAAAAGGCCAATATAGCATGGACTGCATCCACTACAAGACCGGACTACTATACTTAGTCTTAAAGCGTAAAAAGAGATGTGGACTGATATGCTAGTCACGAAAGTTCAGCATTGACAATATCAAGAATGCCCGTGAATTTCCACACCTCTCTTGGTCAACTAACTCGCTTCCTCACATTCCTCAGCAATACCTCAATAATACAATGTTGTACCTTCAAGCTCACTAAAAAATCCGGAAACACAATTATGTGCCATGATCAGTGTACAGTGTGTTTGCATCTGAAAATCCTGTTGTTACGCCCCTTGCTTCTCATAAAGTAATGCTTCTTGCTAGCTTAAAGAGATGCAACTTGCTAGCACAAGTTGCAGGAAAGACTAGAGTGACACCTTTCTACCAGTCAACTTATGCCAGCTTCTCAGCTTGGTCAGCCAGAGTGATGTTGAGGAGTAGTTCGCCATTGATCATTGATGATTGACTTTACAGTGGACGGTAAAGCAATCGATCCGATTCAGCTATAAAAGGCTGGGTTCAGGCTTTTGATATACAGACACTAAGCTATCTAACTTCCAGTTTACACTTGGCCTTAGAAAGTTGTTCTAGTAGTCTTCAAATTCTATCTGCATTTTTGCGTCCCGTTTCCGAAATGGCGAAGTTCGACCTTTTAAGCTTCTCACTGGTAGCTGTTGCAGTCGCAATTTTGGGGCTGTCACTGCAATCTCTCTCCGTGGACGCGCAGTGTGATGGTGGGTGTGATCCCAAGTTTGTGTTAACTGAGCTAAAGCAATGCCAGGCGAATAGAACTGGGAATTGCCCAGACTACAACTGCTGCTACGCCCTGGGAGCACTTAACAACGTCACCAACGATTGCATTTGCGCAATTGCCTACAAGTATCTCGAACCACCGTACACCAAGCTCTATCAACTGTTCCAAAAGTGCTCGAGTGGTGCGAGAAACGTCAGCTGCCTTCTGAGAGCCTAGTGAGAAAGTTGATCACAACGCACGCATCCTCAGCTTGAGCTGCTGCTTCCTGCGCAGGTTCAGGGTGATGTTTGTGCTTATGTAGGTTACATAGACCGACAACTTTCGAACTCTTTGTGATGCAAATCCTGCTTCCGGTACCTCTGAATTTCCCATATTCAGTACCAACCCTTTATTTTACTATTTCTTGACTGTATGTGAATCCTAAGCGTTTCCGTATAGTTACTGTTAGTAAGTTGTCAGTTAGTTCAGTTGTCAGGACTTACACGTACGTAAAGTGAACGCAGTCCATGCTGTGTTGGCCCTCTGATGGACCAGGACTCACGTTCAAGTTTGCTGTTCGTTAATAATCAAGAATAAATATGGGAACTGCGTCAATCTTTGGCTTCTATTATTGACCTCCAGTATTATTTGCGGAATCCGATGAGCAAGTTATTTTCATTCAGACAGTGCTGCTTAATAACGGGTGAAGAATTGTGACAGATTTCGAACTTGAAGGTGCGGTGTCTCTTTGGTGACAACACATGCACTCTCAAGCTATACTTCTTTCGATTAAAGCCGTTGATGTTCATTAGTAGTTGTAATTTTCACATGTTTCTTATGTTCTGGCAGATATATGTGGTATCTATAAATATTTCATTGAGAATCAATCCAAGATGAATTTATTCTATTGATATAATAATTGATGGCTACACCACATCATTCTACTCTTATATGAAAACTAAAACAATCAATGTTCGGTACGATCACTTATATTTCAAATTTCATATCATCGACATGAAATTGCTATCTAGCTAACAGATAAAACAAATAGACTAGATACATTATTAACTTCCAAGTCAATCCAAACAGCAATTATAACCTATAAGCTCATTACAAGAGGTGTTCTACTCATCAGTAAATGTACTTTTTCTTGTACAAATTCACTTTTATTTTTATGTCGATCTCATTTATCTGTTACAGTCCAAATTACTCTTGATAGGTTGCAAATTGTATTACAATTATTGTAAGTCTAGAGAGATTTTGAGAATTACATGTTAACCTGTGAAGGTGAAGTTCCACTAGGAAACAAGGTGTCACTATCTTAGTATGGCCTATTTCAGGAAAAGAGAGTTTGTATTGCTTCTATTTAGCAATCCCGCTATTTGATGATTCTTTGGATGTTATTGTTATTTGTAAAATGTTCGACCCAGACTCACTGCGTCCTTTTAGAATCATTAATCATTGGTAATTTCTTACCATCTGAAAGAGCTGTATTACAGTTCACTGTCTCTTATAAGAGGACAGGTAGAACTGTAAAGTTTGTGGGAAACATGAGCAATAGGCATTTGCCACTCCAGGGAGTTGGAGTGAAAGGAGAGCAGCCAAGTACTCTAAATTTAACATCTCTATGATAACATGAGGGAGGGAAATATATGATTGTGCAATGACCTTCCAATTTTCAAAACAGTTGTCAGAAGTGGGATTTGAACCCACGCCTCTCACGAGACCCGAACTTGAGTCGGGCGCCTTAGACCACTCGGCCATCCTGACGGGATAAGGGTGTTGACAGTGGGATTCGAACCCACGCCCTTTCGGACCAGAACCTTAATCTGGCGCCTTAGACCAACTCGGCCATATCAACTTGATGACCACAACTCCAGATTTACACATACAGAACAATTAGACATGTCAGAGATGTAAATCAAAATAAAGAGGTTCTCTCAACAAGGAACTTACACTAACCGTTTCAGACACGCCACAGGGATTGCACTCTGAAAATGATGAAATGAATCCTATAAAGTTGACATCCTCTTGTTTCATATGAGTGAGATATTTGATCTTCATTCTTTCATTCACACACCGTAAAAGATCACAGGACGAGCAACTCCGACTACGTCTGCCATATTCACCGCCCCATTTTATCCAAAATCTCTCAACTGGTTTCACTTGGAACTCCTGAATTCTATCTCGATGGCTCCCATTGTGTTGTAAAAAAAATTGCAGTACGACCATCGACCTGCGTCTGAGCACTACGGGACAGTTTTAAAACATACTGAGCTGCGTCGGACCCGGATCAAGCGGAGCCAGCTCCTTCCACCGAAGCACATACTCGGATCGATCCCGATTCACGATTCGGGATTTCCACGTTTGGAATCGATAAGAAAAGGCAGAGTGCGGTTGTTTTCCTTCATTCTGCCCGTCAAACAGAACTCACCGAGTCCGTGTAAGAGTTTGTAATGTTGCCGAAGATTACGATATTCAGAATTGCAAGGCTGGTGCAGGGGATCGTCGAGCTGCGAGATGGAGTCGTCTGAAGGCGTTCCTCACAGACCCTACTCCGTCCAGGCTGGCACTTCGTAGTGAGCACTGGATCTGGGCCTCGAGGATGTCTATGGCAGCGCAAAGGTCAGATGATGAGGACGAGGAGGAGGGCTCTGTATGCAGGAACGTAGGGCTTCTCCTCTTTACTCCAATTCTGTCTTCAATGGCATCCGTACTCCGAAAGGCCCGAATCGAGTATTTTAATTAAGCAAATTGGATTTTTGATCTTGAATGTTGCATAGAAGTGTGCAGCGAATACAAGGGATACTTATCCTATCCGCCAGTCCTGCATTAGTGTCTTGTGTATCTTAATAATTTTGAAGTACTCATAACCTGCTCATATCTACAGGAACTTTAAAGAATCTGCTTCAAGAGCTGTATTCTTCTAATTACAGGAGATGTCTGTCCTGAAAGAGAAATTCTTTTGAGGAGCTAAAAACTTGTGACGAGGCAGAAGATGCATCTGTGTACATCGCTGTTGGAGCTCATTTGTTTCTATCGCTCTTTCAAAGGAAGTAAAATTATTGTATACACATTTTCTTTCAAGAGTTTTTGGGAAAGAGTAAAACAATCACAAGAAAACCGGTTCACTCTTTCGCTTAATATTTGAAAGTTTCATATGCCAATAATATATATCATAGATGGAAAATTTGGACTTCAGAAACGAAGTCTTCCATATTTGAAGATTTCAAGAACCATACACTTGCAAGTGGAGTGGTTATCTTTGAAATAAATAGGGTGCGACGTTACCGTTTAGCAATAATTAAGAGGGTCATTTGGTGAAATAGATTATTACTTTCCAGGCTTCCTCCTTTGATCAATTTTGCAAACGAGAGCACACTATTTCAGATGGCCAGACTTGAAAAGACGCGGCGCAAAGGTGGCCAAAATTTATTTCGTTCATCGAATGAGGCCATGTGGGTATGTGGCTCTTAAAACCATATTCCGTATTCCTGGTCGATTATTCGACGCCGCCAAGGAAAACTAACAATTGGATGGCACCAACCGTGAACACAAACACTAGCACAGAGGATCAAAATAGCGTTGTTGGTCTCGAAGAATTCGCCTATTCGGTTCCAGCATCGTACTTTGAGAGCATGGCCACGCTCATTGCGAGGCGATAGATCAGGCGAGAACCTGTCACCGTGCTTGCCAAGGTCAGGCCATGCTGCTCTGGTTATGTGCAAATGCAATTTTGGACCGTCAAATGTGGGCCTAATTTTCACTCATAGGACATTAGTGTTGACAATCCTCCAACAACAAAGCAAGTACTGCGAGAAAACAGGTGAGTTTTATTGGCAAGTTTGATGAACAAAGCTGAACTTGTCGTCTGAGTTGGCCTGTTCCTAAGCACACAGGATCCCTGTGTGCTCTTTCTTGCTACGTGTAGCTGCATTCAGCCAGCCATGATTATTCCTCAGGAAAGCTATCTAAAGTTCAACTTTCTCAGCCTTCTTGCATCAAGTATCACATGTTCTCATAGAAGTTGTCCGGAACATAAATGTTAGCTCTAGACACTTTCATTTTTCGATTGGACACTAGCTATGGCAATAATCCGACGTTCCTGACCTCATGCAGTCGAATTCTGAAGAGAAGTGATTCCACTCCAAGCTTTGAATGTTTGCCTTCTATAACACGGACTGGAGGAAGGTGTCAACTCATGATTGATACATTCATCTATGACCCTTCTCGATGGATGGAGGAGATTCAACAGCACTTTCAACCACTCTTCAGAACTACTGACCTGAATGAAACACCATTAACCTTCTGCAAAGGTTTGCATATGACCTTCGACACTGCGAAACATTTGCAGAAACGGGTGGTTTGCGTTTAAACACTAGATCATCGAAGCATTGTATAGAAACAGAGTATTTAAAAAGAGGAAATGTCGTCAAATTGGTGTATCAATTCCGGTAAGGAGGCAGCCGAGGCCTTGAACTGCACCGAAGCGTGATGTTAGAACCAACGTTTGCTCTCAGGAGTCTCCTTACTAGATCCAGGAACTGAATCCAGTTTTGCAGAACCCTACCTGCAAACCTCGAACAAACTCGATATCGACGTTCGACTTGCAGTCGAACTAGGCTTCGTATAATTGAAGTGGCCATGCAAAGAGACAACTGTGTTTTCTGGACAGTATCCAGAACAAACGAGTTTCTTGAGAACTGGGAAAGTGCAGCCGAGTAGGTTGACCCACTGCAGAGGCGTCTGCCAAAATCACGAAGAGACCAGCGTTCCCAAGTTCTAGCACCTCCTAGAACGAGCGATTTCTCAGTATAGGAATCAGACCACTTTTCTCGTGACTGAGGAAACTCAAATTTTTTTCTGGTTGTGGGAGTTTGCACAGATTTCTTAACATATACCCTGGAGTGTTGTGACAGTGGATGCAAAGGCGCAATCAAAGCCGGATCCATTCAGGAGAAACCTTCCTTTGTCGACTTCTTACAGTACTTAAGAGATCAACTGTAGAAGAGTATGGGCTTCATACTCTTCTCAGCTTCAACATTTGACGTATTATCAACAAGTCTTGAGACCTGTGTTAATCCCAGACTGATAATACCTTCGATACCTCCCTCGGCAAGCAGGGCCGGCTGTCTCCAGCTGAGGTCTCTTTGTAGAACTGGAGGGATTTACGGCTCGATCGAAGAGGTTCATGTTCCTTCTAGTGTCGAAGCAACTAGCCCGTTTGCTACAGGGAAAGCTCACTAGGTACATGAGGTAACGTAGCCCCGAATGTCGACAAATTCATTTATTGTCTGGAATAGAAACAGATATGTACTGAATCAGATGTTGGGGATGCGGCCTGCCTGCGGGGTTGATACTGATCCAGATGTGTACAAGATAAAAACTATAAGCAGGTGTTCCCTGAACAGCAAAAGTATTCTGCTTCCAGCAGCTGCCTCGTGTTTACACATGCGCACCCCTTGCCCTAGGAAGGGTCGTCTGTGCCTGTAGATGTGTAGCTGCAAATATTTTAGATATGACTGTTCCAGAAACGAACTGTATCAAGTGCCAGGTTAAACAAAACATATCAACAGTCATTGGAGTCACCACTCCAAGCATGACATTGTTCTAATTTCATCCTCGACGATCACATGGGTACTACTACACTGAGCATACTGTTTCAAAAAGGATAACGTCATTAATCTCGGATGAGAAACAGCAGTCAACGCCCTAGCGGCTGGACTCGTTGGCCAATATCTAACTTCGATACACATCCTCCTCATTGGAACGCGGACCTTCGCAGATTACATACTTTAAGGAGCAATTGATTTTGCCACTTTCTTTGGGATTGGTCCAATATGATCTGGATACAAATACAGGAGCACGAGCGTTTCTTCTCACGACCGAATTTTTGGACCGTTTCCTGTGATAGACTACACCCATGATGTTTCTACGCTTCTAACTTCTGACTAATGAAGTGCTGGCGACGTAGACTACCTGGTTCCTCACAAGCTGCATACTTTGAGCTTCATCAAACCTCATCAACATTTTCTGAAGCTGAGATCTTTCTTCTGTAGATCTCACTGCTTTTAAGTGATCCAAATATCTGAGAAGATGTGTAGTCTTGTACTTGTCATCCTCATTCATTATTAAAACGGATGGATACAGAAGCCTTACCGACCAGGTTACCTTGTCCATGTATTGAATGGTCCTCATTAAGAAGCAAAATTCCTTTCCTTGTCCCGGTAAATTATACGTCACTAGGTTTACCGGTTTTGACTACGAAAACCAAGTTCTCAAAGCTAGTCCTTGATTGTACAACTAATAAATGAAAGGTTGCAGCGTCTACCCTCACCTGATACGAATTCAACAATGGCTTCGGTCAGCTACAGCGGAGATATGACAACTGCGATGAATTGATAGAATTGATACTGCATCTATCTATGTATAATTACATATACATATCTTCATCTGTATATGCACATACCTTGTAAGTGCCGAGCAGAACCTAATTATATCATGCCAGTTGATAATCGGAGGATCCTGGGTAAGGCGAGGGTGATGATAAAATCTTTTCCAAAGAACTGGGTTGGTTTGAAAACGATTTGAAAGTTTGGAAACTTCGAGATCAAACTAGCGTAGCGTAATGATCACACTGTACAGTCTGACGTTTCGAAAAAAAAGGAAGCTTGAAGTGTACGGCATGACTTCATGGAATGTGAATATCCCACACCTCTCATATCCCGAAGAATCATGCAAAGTCAATGGACTACCGGCACAGTACGGCTCTGATGAATTCTCTTTTTTCAACTTCAGTACTACGACAAGACACGTACAGAAAGTACTGTTGTCAGCTGCAGTTCCAATATCATGACTGCCAGAGATCTTCGGGTTTAAGTCTTCGAGACTCTTAGGAACAAGTTACGTCAAGACTTAAGTGTGTTGCAGAGTCTTACGGTGTGCCCCTCTAGGCAGTTTCACCGTCCTTCCGAACTTGATTCACTCATGTGTACAAGTCTACACTTGTTTGCACTCAACCTCCAAATTCACGTATCTGAAGTACATCATTGTACATCACACGAACTTATCTAAGTACAGATAGCCTATTGTACAGAGGTCACAACTTGGAAATAGACAGACCTTCTGATACTTACAACGTGACTTTTGAGGTCCAACTATTATCAAATGTAAATATCCTTCTATCAAAGTACTGTAGGAGCTGAGCATTTGCTTCCTATAGAGATTCCCAACACTTCAAACTTAAACAAAGGGAGCTAGATTAGTCTGATTCTATGTACATGCTTGTCAGTTTGCATGCACACAACTCTTGTCTTCCTGAACTGTCTCGGAAAGCTTCCACTACGTACATTGAAGGAGCCTGGATAAATTCCGAACTGGAACGTGTGTGCTTATGATTTGCTTCAAACTCTACGTGTCGTTACTAACGACGATAGTGCAAAACAATATTCCAACCCCCACCTTTGTCAATGGAGATGACGGATCGCCTATGGGCAGTATACACTTGTCTAACATGATACAAACATTGTTCGGAACGGTATGCTTTGTTATGTCAAAGCGTCAATTACATTATTTGCTTGTTGCATGTACGTAGAATTAATGGCAAAGTATACAACCACCTCTTAGAGTGACAAGCAATGGAATGCTGTTGACTGCTAAACCAGAGCCTGAGGTCTAATACAAATTATGAAAGTCTATCTTCGAGCATTCCCCTATTGGATGGCCACTCACATATTTGTATTGTTTCATATAAACCAAGGGCAGCTTCTCTATGAACATGAACAAAGGATGAGATACACATCTTGGGTTTCATGAGAAACATGAGAACTCATTAACATTATATATATATATATATATAAATCAATTGCGGTTAACAGTGTATAATATAAGAGAAAAGGTGACAGCAGAAGAAAATCTACAACGTTTGATGATTTGGATGGAAATTTTGATTCTATAAACTTATTCTATAGACTCAAAAGAGTAAAGTCTCAAATGCGCTGTATAATTAGTCCTCAAATTAACCCAATCCATTACTCTTGGTGAATTCACTATCTGAAATTTAGCGATGCAAATGCAGAGCAATAAGGGCCCTTTAATATAAATTACAGTTTTTGTTCAACAAATTTCTTCAATCTGTACGTAATGATCTGTAAGGGAACATAATCTCATTCCGGCAAGCACACGAATAGGAATAAATTGAAGTTTGGAGCTGATTATGAAGCAAGATGTTGCTTCAAGTTCGAGTTGAACTCCTTGTACTCTTAATAGAAATTTTATATAATGGATCCGAATTTCGAAATCGTTCAAATAATTGCATCACATTTCTTTCAGTAACAGTGGACAGTGAAACCCAGTGGTACGGTGGTCCCATGAAATTTTGGGAAGCATGCAACAAGACCTTTGTCAACTACAGTGCTGATACAATGTTCCAACAAGAATGTTGTTGTTTATGGACATCTCATGTCTTCAAGTTTCTTCCAATAAGTAATGACCAAGTGGAAAGGATCAATCGTGTAGACTGTGCAAAGAGATTTGGATCATCGGAGTCGAGAAGCACCTATGTACTTGTCGTTCTCTCAGTTCTCCACGACGTGTATGTGCTCATTTCACAGCAATATCGATCCAGCAGTGTGCAACAGGGCTATTTCGACACTTACCAATGCTCACTCATTTCCTCCTCAATGACGCAAAGCGACTGTTGACAGACTTGCGGCCATCTTCTGTCGCACTCGAGATTGATATGTTCAGAAAATGAGGAGAAATCTACTGCTTCAGGTATAATGTAAACCCTAAAGTCTCATGTCGAGATGCTTTGTAAGTAATCACACGAGCCATGGGTGCTTTAATTGTAAAACTGTTTGAAGGAACATTGAACCTCAACACACAACAGCATATGCTTTTCGGATATACATTCGCATCCAACTGACATCGATTTGAGGTTCGTCGTGTGGTAAGCGTGTTCGTAGACCTACCCTGGTTCAAAAATTCTCCCGAAGTCAAGATCGAGCCTCTCGGGCTTCGCATACGAAAACAGTGACCGAGAACATCTCCTCGATATGCGAATAATCAATCTTGACCATACGCTTGTTCCAAAGATGAAGAAGCCCGGGGCCACCCCAACGAGCTTGAGAAGCCAACAAGTGGAAAACAAAGTCTCAAAATACGAGTCACGATGTCGCCTCTCGCTTGTCTACGAGATCCGCGGCGTCTCAATGATCCACTTTCCCTTCCAATCAAATATTATATGATATTATACTCTGCTGATCTCCAAGTCATCGTCTCGATTGACGATCCTTGGCCGATCTCACTGCACCTATGCATGTGTCGAGAGCAGCTGAGAGGAATGAAAAGGAATTTCGAGAATCCATCTCCGTCTCTTCTGACGTCTCATGGGAAAGTGAATCTCCTCACTTTGCTTCTTATATGAGCACGATATTAAGCCAGAGCAGCACATTAGAGTAACGTGCTACAACCTCAAATACTGCAAATGCCCTCATGAGCCAGGATTCTACTCCGAGGATATCCAGAATAAATTTTCTGCTGCATTTGTATTATTGTGAAGAAATAGGTGTCTTCTATACAAGGTACTGAACGCAATTACGAGATGGAAACCTTCTTTTATCCTTGAACCGTATTCCAGGACTGGTCTGCCTTGTTGTCTGAAGAAGCTAAGGAGAGTACATTTTGATCTTCCGAGTCTGATTAGCTAAGCTTGAAGACAAGCTTTACGTCTGGATTCACAGCATGCGCCATGCCAACTGCTTGGCAATGGTTGAAAGCAGGTTCTCTCCATGAGGATCAGCTGATCAGCCCTTTAGTTCAAGCAGAAGTAGCAGAGAAAACATTCATTGACCTTAGAAACTCATACAAAACAATTCAAAGCAACATTCATATGGTCGGCCTCAAATCCAAACGCAAAAAAAAGCTTTCTAACTTATGGAAAATGACGAATCATAACATGTTGAACGAGTAAATTCTGACTCTAAATTTATTCCCAAAGATTGAGTACTTAAGGATGTGAGGTTAAAGTAGATGTTACTGTAAATGTATCACATATGTTCTAGGAGTAAAAGGTAAAAAATAATGTGCAAAATGATGATCACACTCTATCAAGTCCTACACGGATGAAACCAATCCTGTTACATGGCGTTATCCACCAATATCATTTTCTGGGAGATATTTTCTACAGGTTACAAAGGATCCAAACTATTCAGATATAACTATGTGCATATAGCACAATATCCAAAAAAAAAGTATCACAGGACAAAACTATTCTTCTATGTATCACGCAAACTTATGCATTCTATAGAACAACGAAAACACCTGAACCGAAATATGTCACAAGAAAAATAGAATTCATTTTGGATGACTCGCATTGTCTCAATAACTAGTTGATGTCCACATCATTGAATAATCATAACATTTGAGAACATAAAGTTGAAGTATTCACATATCACTATAAAAGAAATTTCATAATTATGAATCACTGTTTTTCCATACATGAGTATGGATACCCATTGAATGTTATATATTTCATCACATTGAATATAAAAAAATCATTTAAATAATAATTTAACTATAAAAAATCAATGCAAAAAATGCAAAGCATATCTTCATGTTAGTACAGTAGTAACATATTCAGTGATTGCATTCTAAATTCTACAAAATTCAAAACAATTCTAACCCAAGTATAAATTTGATAAAGGTTTACGAACCAATCACTTAAACAATCTAAGAACTAGATTTTAAAATGCACATTCTAGCCATTTCATTTCACTGCAGTGGATCTCAGCACTCTTCCGCAGCCTTGTTTCTTTCGTGCCTCAGCTTGATAACGTGTTGTGTACCACGGCTTCCACTTCCATGTTCCACTGAGTGACGTTGTACCTCGCAAGCATCGGTTCCAACCTTCTCGCTCTCCTCAGTATGTGCTCGGTTCCGAGCAATCGGAATGGGCTCCCGGGTCGCCGGGAGTTCCACTTCCCGTAGCCGACGGGAAGAAAAGACGAGAAGCACACGGCCTTTGACCTGGAGGGCGACTGTCGTGAAGACTAAAACCCACTGGATATATCGACAGAACCACTGGGTTCTCGAGTTCGGCCACCAGAGAAGGCGAGTCCGGTCAAAGGTCGCGAGGTGTGACCGCCGCCCTCCCAAAAAGTGGACCGAAACCGCCAAACGGAGGGACGAGGAGAGCGGACCCACCAAAGAGGGAGCGAAATCGTATCGGAGCTCCAGCGACGGACGGACCTCCTGGTCCGCCCGCCGTGATGGGCCGTCTGGCTACCTACACGTGGCCGCGCTCCGCCAGCTCCGAGCCCAAGCAGGCATGGAGGAAGGCCACGGTCCAGGTCCTGCAGGAGCGTGCCCAAAAAGGTTCCACATGGGCGCTGGTACTGGGTACCCCACATGTAGCACCCTGTCCCATTGGAGGGTCCCGGGGAGCTGCGAACTCTCTCGTGCCTCCTTGTCCGTCTGTTCCGAGGCGCTGCAGGTGCTCCCTGACATCAGTAGGTACGGCGTTCGAGAGAATTGGGGATACCCTAGCTGTGTACGGTGCAGGATGGACGGAAGGACGGACGGACGACGGGCCAGAGCCCCTTCCCTCAGACTGGCCGCCACAGTGCCGCATCCCAGTCGTCGGAGCACACGCGGCGTCAGACGTGCGGGTGGCACCGCGGTTCGAACCTGGCAGCCTCCGGTGGAGGAAGAACCCGCCACCGACGGAGCGGGGCCACTTCAGAGTTCCGAGGGAGGATGGATGGATGGATGGATGGTCAATGACCGAGGCACGTGACAGGGGTTTTAGCTACCGCCCTGACAAAGCCTGTCCGCTCTCCTTCCAGTAGATCCGAGAAGTGCTCCCTATTGTTACGGTGGGGGAAAGTAGGGCGGAATGTACAACGCTGGGGCGCGAGAGGTCCGGGCGTGCGATCGGCCCCCCACAGGCAGAGGGGGGCCCAAAGGACGGGTGGGCGGAGAGTTATAAGCGCTCCGGCGCGCGTCTGCAAAGCATCGCAGAACAGATCCACACACGGAGCCAGAGGAAAGAGGCGGAGCTCGGACCTGAGCTGGTGCTTCGATCTTGAGAGTGTGAGAACGCTGGACCGATCTTAGAGCGCAGAGCTACCCCTCGTCGGGAGTGCTTGCCGAAAAATCATCAATTTCATCAATCCTTTCAGAAAAGAAGAAGAAGATTCAGACGAGATGGCCTCAGTGTGCGCGATGGGTGCCGCCGGTCTCTCTGTAGCTGCCCTGCAGCAGGAATTCGTGGGCCTGAGGAAGGAGATGTCCTCGGCGTCTGCGATCGATTCAGTGGCAGTGGGTGCTCGTGCTGGACGATCCAGCCATGGAATCCGTGCACAGCAAGTCCAAAATCGCCCTCCGGTGAGGCCTGCTGTCTCGTTTCCTCTCTACCCCTCCAACATGACGGCGTACAGCGGTGTGAGTGGGCAGACCACCGTTCCGCTCGTTCCATTCATGGCGCAGAAATTGGAGACCCCCGAGGACGTGCAAAAGGGACGAGCTGTTCCGATTCCTGCCATGAACATCGTCATGAGGTTGGACCTGGACCACGTCATGGAGAGGAGGTGGTAAGGAGAGGAGGTCCGAGGGCCGCATTCGGATGCGGCGTGTAGAAGAGAGAAGCTGGGAAGGTTGGCGGGCGCATGGTTGCAGCCTTCTCAAGTTGTTGTATGTTCAAGAGGAATTCGAATGGAATGGATGCACTGCAGACTGGATTTCTGGCCGGTCCCTGGAGATCGCTCTACTACCGTATGAGAGAGGTATGTGATTGTGCTACAGAGAGAGATATATGTATCAAGGTCAAGTCTAGGACGAGGTTGGCTGCTAAGGACGGCCTTGACGTCCATGTTGCACTTGTGAGGCTGCCGGATTCAGCCCCGACTGCTTTCTTCGGAGTGGAAGTTGCTGAAGCAGCCCCGGGCGCAACGCGAGATTCCTTCAACCCACCAGCTGCGGAGAAACTGCATGTTTCACCTTCAATTTTGAAAGCTTGCCCTAGATTAGGTCGTTGAGGTTCGTGTACAATGTGAGAAACACCTCGGTGAATGCACTTGGGCTTCAAGTTCCGATCATCAGCTTGAGTGATCCTTGCTCTGAACACACGGAGAAGAACTTTGTAAAATAAAGAGTCACGTGCCTCATAGGACAGGATGCTCCAAGAGTATAAATGAAGATGGCCCACGGCGGCGTGGATCATTTTAAAGAGGAAGCCCCTAGATCAAGTTTTAGGAAGGAGTGAGTTTGGAATGTAGGTTGTGCAGTTTCATGAGAGCTTCTTGATTTGGCACTGTAATATTAGCTAGCTAGAGGGTCTTACAACCAGTGAGAACTGGCCGTTTCCTGTCTGCTCCATGTCAGCTGTGGTCCGATAGCAATTTCAGCGAGTAACCTTAAAAAAAGTTGGGTTTGTACTATAGGCTGAAAACGCAGTCGATGCATGTCAAGTTTCCAACTAAATAAAGCGCGTGGATGTACGTCCGCTCGCGTTTTCAGCGTATTCGATTTGCTTCCGATCTATCAGCATCTGAGTTCTTTATTTTTTGCTCTGAAATCTGCTTGACGACGATATTTTCCACACACGTGTCGAGGAACAAACCTGATACTCTCCGAATGTGTTTTCCGAAGCTTGAAAGCCCTTACAGTCTGAAGAAACGCCAATTATCGAAGTGGTTACTACGGAAGCTTCAGTTGAATGATCTTCGTTCAGAAACATTCTTAGCTTCGAGTAGGCGTAACTTCGAATAGGAAAATTGCCGTCTGTAGATTCCATGATGGTTCGGAGTGGACCTTAGTTGGCGACTGCGTGAAATTCTTATCCTTACTGCAGATGGGTCGGGTTACTTACGTTTACGCACTGATCTCCTGTCAGCTTGCAGCCGGCGGGATGGAACACATGATGAAAGTGCCCCGTGCGGTCTCATCAATCTTCAGCTTCTAGAACGTTGAATTTGTGATGAATGGTTGCAGTCAGCGAACGAAAGAGAAGCAAGGAACGAAGAATTTGCATGTTGACCGTAATGTCTGCAGAAAATAACTTGAACCAGTTACTATTGCTGGGCTCTGGAACAATGATTCTGTTATTTGTTTTCTCCGTATTTAAATCTCGTCTTATGTCTCGAAATTGAAACGTATCAGATTGCCATGACCGACCTGCTAATTAAACTTCGCCATCAAAATATAAGTATGAACTTTTCTGGGGTAAAATTGCTCTAGCCACTACACACCCTTAAGTATAGAAGTACACAAAGAATAACTGTCTAAACTGAACGAAGCGAGGTAGTTAAAGTTGATAGTAGTATCATGCTACTTTTAAACTTCACAATTCAAATGCACGGGAAATGAAGCAAAAGAGCATAACAGAAAGTATCCTACTGCTTATACGAAGGAAATAAAACAAGGTACGTAATATAAAACATAATATTCATAACTTCTCACTTTTTCATTCCCGATGGGTAGAAAGTCGTGGGATTCTATTGTCTAGTGTATTAAATATATGTTGCACTTTTACAATGGTGACAAGTTCCGGCACTCAGCATGAAAGTATCGATTCCTTTAGCCACGTGGAACTTCTGTCGTTGATAAATGGACGGTTAGGATAAATGGTCAGGTTAGCCAGCAGAAAGCATTGGAAATTGTTCTTGAGCGCCGGACCTTGAAATGGAACAATCCGCCTTTTGGTTTTAGTTGAACTGCCATTTGGACGATCTGTTGGATTTCATCCCGGTCGCAACCTTGGAACCTCATACGCCTTAAGCCATTTTATGGGAACGTCTCCACCCCAGTAGTTGCTCCGAAAACGTTCTGCTCCCTTTACTAAATCCTTAATGTTTGACATGAAATCTTCTCTTGGTCTTCATCTTTAGGAGCTTGATGATGTTGAGTTCGTCGTATGTCTTTGATCTACAGCCGCTGCATTTTGAGGACAGTTCTGTATGTCTCCATCTTAGCTGGACCAACTAAATTAGCTGGGGTAGACAAGGTTTTGTTCGTGTGAATGAGGTATTTCTTCTTGTCGTTTCTATATGTGATGGCCTGTGGAGGAGCTTGGTGAGATTCTTCTCCACAGATCTCCTCTTTGGAAGTGATATTGAGATGGAGTTGCTTCTTTGCGACGGAGTAATTACCAACCTCCTTGCCTTCAATAACATCTACAGCGTAATCTAGCTTAAATTGTGTACTCTCGTGCTACCTTTGTTATGTTTTTCCAGTTTGTACTGTGACGGCTCATAACTGTAACTTGAGTACGTGCTTTGCTTTATGTGTCAGTACATCATAGCCCGTTAATTATAAGTATGGCTTGTCGTTGTAGAATCTAAATCATGCTACTATGTGATCAGATTGTAATTTGTATTCTCTATAGGGTCAGTCAAGAATGTACAAATCGATCATAGTCCATATATTTCATAGGAGAAGATGTTTGCAAAATCCAGATTGATTAACCCACTTCACATCGTGCGCATTGTTAGAATCTAAATTGGCACACAATTATGATTTTACTTATTAATTTTTATTTTTTGTTGTTATATGATTTGGCGGTGCTACACCGATCATAGATAAGTATAGTGAGGAGGAGACCATGGACGTCCGGACCAAGAGTTGACGATATCATAAATATAGATGTCAACTTAAGAATGAAAATAAAGTTATGGCAGGAATAGTAATCAAGAATGAAGATATATCTATCAGACTATTTCACGAACAACTTTGTGCAAGATTTAAGGAAGAATAAGAATGTGAGATATGAAACACCAATTGTCAGTTGTGATTACCATGGAATCTGATACTCATGTATGAAATCTCTTCATATTTGTGTTCATAACTCGGATATTATTACCTGTACTTAAATTTTTCTTTCGGATGGCATCGGCACATAATAAGTCCACCTCGACACTCTGTCACGGCCTGACGATATTGACTCTTCCTATGGACCACAGGCACCTTTCTAATATTGCGACTAGTGATTGCAATGACGACCTCCAACTAATATTTCTTCTGCTCTGAGGTAAAGTAAAATTCTGGCGGCTGAAACACACCGTGTTCCTGTAAACCCATAAATTTTCCATTAACGATAATCAGAGATTGACTGCAAGAAGTATGGATTTCGTTGGATGGTTGAATTCTTCTTGATGATACTTCAATTTAGCAAATGTATGCTGCGTTCATAGTTTTCAGTTGATGAAATGGCTACCCCGACGAGCTCGAGCAGAGCAAGTTCTTATTAGCAGATTTCGCTCTATGAGTTTGTGCCCACGTTGGTCAGTGGGTTTCAGGATGTCCTTCCTCGACATAATTGGAAGGAAGCCTGAAAACTCCGTTGCTGCAAAGCAGTCTCTGCCACTTTTCCTGGCAAGCTCTTTGTGATCCGCATCTCCGCACTCATGGGGGTTTTGCGCCAAGAAACTTCTGGACACAACTTGGACGACGAGAGTTGTGCAGGGGAGTGTTTGGCTAGGATGAGACCGCAGCACCAAGCAGAGGGATGCTAGACGTGCGAGCATATACAGAATCATTGGGCGGAGCGGAGGTCAGATCCGTTCTCCAGCGCCATGTGTGAGCTGCCATTAGGTTAGGTCACGGGGGAATGGCTAATCAAAGTTGCCTGAATCTGCTGTGTAGGGGGCCAGAGATGATGTCAATTTGGTGACAGATTGTGGCGTTCGATGGGTTTTTCTCGAGCAGCGCCGTTGGACTTCCGACAATTTCTGTTGCGCGCTCAGGTGCTGCGCTTGTACCGATCAGCTATACGCTCTGTCCGTCGCGTCCCTCCTCCTGCTTGCGGTACTGCTCTGTTCTGCCAATAGCAGTCGATGCAGAATTCAACTACTTCAAACGTGAATGCGAATGTGATTAGTACTCTTTTTTTATGGTCTTCGATTGCTTATATTATCGAAAGTCTGGCTGGATTGTTTAGGCGAGCTTCGGCAAATCGTGCGAGAGGAGATGGAACGGAATCGGGAGGTGAAAGATCCTCAGCAAATTCGGTTTTTATTGGGTGAGGGAAGCCAACGTTTGAAGGAACTGAATTCCATGCTGGGAATACAAGGACACGATTGAAGAGGTTTTGAGAGTACGATCAAGTCGTCGCTTTTGTCGAAGACAGTACCGCATGTGCAGGTCATGTGGCCTGCCGAAGGAGTCGACACAACCTAAACCCTCAGGCGAGCTGGTTGCAATTTCTTGACCTGCCGATAATCCTTAGCCCTGTCTTGATTCTGCATGATTAGAGCGTCATTATGGGAGTCATACACTTCTAACCAGATATTTGGGAGCACAGAAGATTCAGGACTCACAGCTCGGTAAGGCTACGTTCGATGTATAAAATGTCCTCTAATGTCGATCATAGCACCCTAAGATTTTATGTCAACTCTAACAATGGTCACGTTTCTCACGCTTTTTAATGCTGAGAACTTGTACTCGATGACATCATCTCGAAGCTCGTAGGCTGCAGTGTATGTCCGTAAAGTTGAAATCGAATGTCACATTGGAGACTGTTAGAGCTCTTTTTCCTTCCACGAGCTCCTACATTGGAGCAGAGGATAAGTTTTGTGTTGTCTACAGCCGAATTTGCAGCAAACGTCGTGAATGTAACGATCTGATGTCTTGGTACTTGTGCAAACGAATTCTGGTGGCGATCGAATTTCTTTCTGCTCTATTACTAGGAAAAATTGATGGATCCTTCAACCAGTAAATGTAAAGACTCCAGAACAACAAGGGCTCAAGCATTGACCCGCCCTCTCTTTCATGCTCGAGGCCGTAGATGTGAGACCGAAAGGATTGGCTTACATGTTTTGGTTGAAAAAGAAAGTGTCATCGTATGGGTTGCCTTTTAGGCCATGCATGCTGTAAGTGTTGCACAATCTGTCGTTGCATTGCTCACTCAGTGGTCCACAGAAGGGTGAAATAATTAAGCTGCCCTACGATTTCTCTTCATACTCGAAGCGAAATCGTGAGACTGAAAGGGAGGGTCGCGGCGAGAGGCTTCATACGTGGAGTGCATAAAGTTTGACCGTAACAACCACGAAAGTCTGTGTTGATCAAATAGGAAGCGGTCCTGAACATGGCCAAGGCTAGAATCCTCAACTTGAGCCAGAACCACTTAAATGGACATCAATCTGTGTCAGTGTTCCTCGTGCCAAGTCTGGAAGTATAAATGTCATGGAGCATTCAGGGTGATTACCCGGTCGTGGATTTGATACATAATAACCTCAGTTATCCTTTGCCTCTCACCTTTAAACATGTTATGAGCTACTCATATTTACTGTCAGCTACTGGAACTACTTACGATCAAGGGCAGTGATCCCACCTTGGCAATTAATCCGTTCTGTCACTAAAGACTTGAATTAATCAATTTTAGATTTCTCTCAAGTCCTGGCTTGATTGCCGACTCATGTGGGCACATCTTCGGCCGAATCTAACTGATGTCTGGGACTCCGTTCTGCTCTTCTCACCACCAATCGAATGTGTGTGGAGAAGTCTGTGTCGTTTCTGGATGCACGAATTTCCCTTTCATACCCAGCTCACACCCGAAGTATCTTACATGATCACTCCAACTAGATGAAAACTCTCAGTTTCAGAAACTAGCACCTTCGTTATCTGTAGAGTCTCCTCAACTCAACACCTCACGTATACAATTGCAGTTTGAAGCAAAATAGATGGACATTTTTTCGAAGTCTAGAGTAATCCGTATGCAAAACACATGATGCAAATGAAATTTTTCGAAAATTATATTGAGATTTAAATATTTCATTTTTTTTATGTAAGATTCAAGAGGCCTAGTAGACATCTTTATTTTGCAACCTATCTTGTGCTATTACTCTCTCATAATACATAGCTTCAAAGAGTTTTTTAAAAAACTTAAAATAGAAAAGTCAATTCAAATTTCAATCTTCTTCACAAATCTTAATCATTATTACCTTTCTTTCCTAGTAATATCAAGCTTTTTATATTTATGCTTTGACAATTTCCAAACAGATATACATTCTGAATAAAAAATTTATGTCAAAGTTTAAGTATATTTTAATAATTAAAGGTATATTTAATTTTGTAATAAATATTTTTTTCTATCTTCAGAAATATACATTGATCTGTATAATGTAAATCATAAATTTTAGAATTTTTTCTGATCTAAAAAATACGTATTGGTCACAACAATTTTTTTTAAAAATTTGATGAGTAATATCCATACATTTCATTCAATACAATAAAAAATTGAATTCTCAAATATATGTAAAATATAATTTTATAGTTTACACAAATAAATTAGTATTGATTTGGTTTATCATACAATTTTTTAGATGAATAAAATAATCAAAAGAAAACTTTATTCTCTTACAATTCAAAAATGTATATCTTAAGTCCAATTTCTATTTGATGCATATGTTTAGATTGAAAAAAATAATTATAGATTAATAAAGTAAATCTTATCATATTTAAATATTTTTTCAAATTATATTAACTTATAATTAGTTCATTCGAATTTCATATGTATATTTTAAATTTTTTAATAAATATATTCGATCTATACTGATTTCATTCGTATAGTTCTAATCATATATATATATATATATATATATAATATTTGTTGATTTTTATTGATATGAGTATATTGCTCAAATTATATCTGCTCATGAATTCATGTGTTTAGTGTATGTATTCAACATGTGTTCATATCTGATCAAATGATATGAAAAATTATAGCAAGTACATTATTACTATGTTATTTCAAAATTTTTAGATATATTTTTCTCTTTAATACCATGTATTGAATTTAGATAAATATCTCAAGATGAAGACTAAACTTAAACTGCCACGTGATTGAAATTGATTATTTTCAAGTGTTAAGAAATTTTAATCTATGAAATAATAAATAAAACAATGCAATGGTTTCTTTTATTTTCCATTCTTATGACATATGAAATGGATGACGAAATGAAGATTAATTGAATAAGATATCAGTCAATATTTAAAATTCAAAACAAAACGTAGATGGTTAACAAATCTCCAACATGGAAATAAAATTTGATCTCTATCCCTGTATATAAGAATCAAATTTCATTTTAAAATTAAGTGTATATATGAATAAATTATAAATAATATTATTATAGAATTATTTATATCCAATTTATTTCAAAATTCATGACACTATTATCAAACATAGTCTAATTCAGTGAGTTTTGTAAATGAGATGCTTACTTACTCAAACATATACTTTGACTATAACTTTGAAAATTATCGTGATAGATTTTCTTACAGCGGAATTACCTCTATAATAGATGATTATACATACATCGAAGAAGACACAATATGACACATGGATTGAACCAACTTATTTTTGGACGAGCAATGCCAATTTGTTATTGCAAATTTTGTGACTACAAATTTCATATGATACATGAGTTTTGGTTGAGTGATTATTAGCCAGTTTCATCGATGAAAATCTACGAGAATCACATTTAGATATTTTTTAAAACTTAAATGGACTTATGAATACATATTTTGACATGTTTTTGAGTTAATGCGCAAAATGCAACTATATTTCAAAAATATACATCGCAAAATTCCTCATTTTCAATATTGTCTATAAATTGACAATAAGAGAACATGTGTTAGTACAAACCACAAGAGATCCATTAAAATATGTGATGATTTTTCAAATTTCATTGTAGTTTATACATCATTTGATATTTTAGATTATATGCTACGGACACAAAGAGTACCAAGTCGAGTAAAAAAAAGATTCTGGAAAGATCCCATCAAGCTATACTACAAAGGAAGGAAAATATAATGATCAAGATTCTGGATCCAAGAGTAAAACACGAGGATATGCTAATGTGATAAAATTATTGCTACGTGAAATCACAAAAATGTAGGGATACCTAGTTGGCTCCGCTGCATGGAAGGTTTGGTCCAGTTGTTGTGAATCTTGAACTACACACCAATATCGAGTCTGTAGTCTTGTACATCTTTGAAAGAGAAAGGATACTCTTAATCCAACGACAGTTTTCTATTCTTAAATCCCTCAACCTCTAGAGACAGACAACAAATCCTTGAAAATTTTCGTCGAAGAAAATATCGAGAGCACGAAAGATTTCACACGTCTATTAGAAAAAAAACCAGATGTTCTTCATCATTATATTGTGCAGAGTCTATTCAAAGAGATGTGAGAAAGATTGAATTTAGGTTATATAGATGATAAGAAGATAAGTCAATTTTGTAAAACAAAACATTTGGATAAAGATATCAAGCTTATATTGTAGCTATCACAAATGCGTCAAAATTATATTTACTTGTTATCCAAATGAGTTTGATATCAAGCTATAACACATAATCAATGACTCACTATTATGCTTCCGAATTATAAATTCTTTTATTGAATGTACTAGTCGGCTTTCAGGAAATCATAACCACACAAGCACTTGAGTTTTTTTCCTTGGGCATTGAGATATTTCATTACTAAAACTTTTAGATCCAGTAAATGATGGAAAAATTCAATGAGAAAGAAAGCAAAGACTTTCAATGGCTGGGCATGGGCCTAAGGCACGGTAAACCATTCTTTACATTTTCTTTTCTATAGTTTTTATTTAAGTCCATCGTAGCGATAAATATAAATTAAAATGCATGAGCCGTTTGATACTACTCAGAATATAGAATTGATGTCATTGTTTGTAAAATATTAATTAAGATACGATTTCTTTAAAACTTAGGATATATTCTTCTCGGATGATGTATTCTATTCGAACCCCACCAACCACAGTGGATCGGTGGGATGCATACAAATGTTCCCAAGTACATTTGTAGGAATATAAAACATTATCGGTATGACGACAAGCAGCCAAGTACAAAAGTACGACAAACCAAGTTTTGCAGAAAGAAGCATGGGAAGGGCTACATGGATGGGTGACACGATAGGGGAAGATGAGGAGAGCAGAGGTAGAGAGTACTATATGTTGTGGATAATAGTAAATAAATAAGACGCTTTACTGTGGCGTGATAGAGTGGACCATAGGCACGGACTTGAAGTACGGAATTATATTCAGATTTTGATGGGGGTCCTTCAAGATATGCAGCAGAGAAACTTCTAGAGAAGTACAGACATGGTTCAACTCAGAAAAAAGTAGATGGAAAGTCGTCAATCTGTCAAGCTAGCTCTTCTAAGAGAGACGGATGAAGAATGTAGGTAACGGAATTTACAAACGACCCTGTAGATTTATGGATCTCGTGTTTCTAAGAAAACAATTAGTCGAAGAAAAGAATTTTTCCTTGTAAACGAAGACTTAGAATCTTTTATTCTCGATGTTGCTCAGGCTTTTCACAGATGCAACTGTATCGTGGTTTTAGACCAGCTACTAGACTTCTCAGACTCGGATCCAGAACGCTCAATCATATGGTCGTACGAACTAAATGTGTCGGTGGAAACAGTGGTGAGCACCACGTCGAGCTTACAGCTGACTCTTTTTCACTCATGAGCTCATTTTTTACTCAAAAGGGAGGGTCAAGGAGCACTGGTACTCCAGGAAGACTCTGCAACCCTCCATGATAAACTCCCGTTGCATTCCCCCAATGGCCAATGTGGCTGAAAGTTCGGCATTATTGTCTTTGAGAGAGAGACAGAGAGACAGAGAGAAATTTATTGATTGATTGTGAATGACTGTTACTGACAAGTCTGCTACTTGAGGTGGCGAGGAACGAAAGAAACAACTGAAGCTTTTTGCGCTGGAAGTCAATGGTTTATGCACCGATACCCAGAGTTTGTGGGGTCTTGATATTGACCTGTCTGCTTGACCAATGCTACGCCGCCGTTGCCATCGGTTCCATGGTTTGTTCTAAGCTCTGAAGCTGTGATGGCCGTGTGTAGTTTTGTCTTTATGCTGGTCTGCTGACTTCCCTCGTTCGACAAGTATCAGAAATTTGCAGGAGTTGAAAGAATGACGGCGTCGATTCCATTTAGTGCGTTGAGTATCCAAACAGCAGACGTAGGACTTTCTTGCAGACTGATGCGTGCGCTCCGCTCAGTCTGCAATCAGGATCAGATCAGATCACGCAAAAAATTCAGATTTCGAAAATTCAGAACATGAACAATCGGAATCTAAAAAGGCTGTTAGTATTGCATATCGTGTAAAACTACTCACGAGCTCCGAACGTGTGTGACAAAATACGAACAGACTTCAAGACGACTTCTTGCAACCGCATCAGAGATTAGTACATGCGTGCGCCAAGCGGGAGCTGATGTTGTCCTGCCAGGTGACTCGGGGTATGAAGCTGCGCGAGGCCATGTCTTCAACCACCGGAACCTCTACAAACCTGCTGCGTTCATTTTTGTCAGCAGCGTGGATCAGGTCCAGAATGCAGTCAAATGTGCTGTACAATTGAAAGTCGGAATCGCTCCCCGCAGCGGAGGTCATTCTTACGAAGACTACTCTCTGGGTAAGCTATGATACGACCAGTTTGTCCCTGGCTTTGCTCTCTTCCCCATCTCGCCATCTCAACACTCAGGTCTCCTACATTGGTCTCTCTCTTGTCACTCTTTCATGTCGCTGCCCCATACACTACTCCATTACAGGAAAATGTCGTCTTCTCCATGAGGCACTCCACGACGCACTTCTCAGCCTGGAGAGGAGCCTAGAATGCAGCAGTGTAGATCAATCCCCAAGCAAAAGGAGTAATGTGACATTTCCTCTACACGATTGTTACCCGGGATATGTACTAACATGCACATGCCCTTGTGCACTTGAGAGCAGACCATGGTGTAGGACATCAGTTCTCTCAACTTCAGGAGGGAAGAAACTTAAGTCGGAACTTGTTACAGGGGGGCGAGATGGTGTGATGGTGGTGGATTTGGGTGGCTTAAATGAGACCACTCTGAACAAGGCCACGGGGCTTGCCACAGTGGGAGCCGGAGTGAGGCTGGGCCCGATGAAGTTGGCGCTGTGGAAACAGGGGAAGAGAACTATCCCGTCAGGAACTTGCCTCACTGTCGGAGTCGGAGGCCATTCTCTCGGCGGTGGATGGGGAACGACTTCGAGGAAATTCGGACTTATGTCTGACAGTATAGTTGAAGCCCAAGTGGTCACCGCTAGAGGAAACGTGGTCACTGCAAGTGCCAAGAGTAACCCCGATCTCTTCTTTGCCCTCAAAGGAGCTGGTGCCAACTCGTTCGGTTAGCTATTTCTCGAACCTCAAGTCCCCACATTCCTCACAAGCTCGTTCACGTCAACCTTTTATTTTATATTCCATATAATAATGAGATCTTCCTAATCAGCTGTATTCCTTCGTCTTCTGCACTCTGCTCGCATTCAGCAATTTTGTAGTGCTTCAGATCGGCAACTTACAGAGCTTGAGTTTTTCATTTTAGCTTCGACTGATTCCAGACATCGGCTAACTTGAGGTAAACCTCTTCTGTTCACCCAAATGTTGTGCTTGCTGCAGGCATAGTGACACGATTCACTTTCAAGACTTTCGATGTCTCCGAGAAAGTGATCTCATTTTCATACGACTACAACGAAACACAGCAGGTGAACGTCTTGAAGGCATTTCAGAAATGGGGATTCAATGCGCCTGATGATGTTTCTGCCTCCCTTTCAGAGTTCTCCACTGGGGGAAACGGCATGTCTGGAATATATCTCGGCTCCAAGTCCAAATTCGCCGATGTTATGAAGCCCTTTCTGTCAAGCCTCCCAGCTCCCACAAAACGCGAGGAGTTGGAGGCGGACTACATTTCTACCGTCCTCCAGAACGGCGGATACAAAGCCACTGATCCTTCGTCAGTCTTGGGTCTTGTGAATGTTACTTATCCTTTTGTGACATTCAAGTCAAAGTCGATCTTCGTCAAGAAGAATGGAATGTCCGATGCAGGGGTTCGAGCCTACATCGAAGCTCTGCGGAGAGGCTCGGGCTATTCGATCCTCGACTTGTATGGGCCTACTTCGGCGATCAATAAGGTTCCGTCCAATGTCACCGCTTTCGTTCACAGGGACGCTCTGTACAGCATTCAGATGTTCACTTCTTGGGAGGAGAGCTCTGATGCCAGCTCCAGCATCAGCTGGATCGAGAACCTGTGGCGCACGGCCCGGCGCTTCTCCTCCCCCAGCGCATACCAGAACTACATCGACGTGCAGATGCCCCTCTCTGCTTACTACGGCTCCAACCTCTCCAAGCTCAAGACTGTGAAGAAAAAGTGGGATCCGAGCAATGTCTTCAGGTTCCAGCAAAGCATTCCTCTGAGCTGAACATCCAATAAGCTTGGAAATTATGGACCCCTCGCCTGTCCGTTTAGGGAATTCTACTTCCAGGCATCCAGAGACTTCAGTCCGACACTTCCAGTGCTGCTGCCACTGACTTGCGCCTAATACTTCTTCGACGGGCGTGTCGATGTAAGACGTGGCCTCTGTTTATTATCTCTCAGAGGACAGTTCAAGGATATAGTAGTTCTTCAAAATTTCCAGGGCTTAGAGTCCAAATGCAAGATCGAATTCAGTGGCTGAACAAGTTTTGTTCCATAAATTCGGAGCGCCATGTTTAGTAGTTATTTTTTCCAGTCCGAAGAATAGTGCAAAACGCAGCTCCCGGAGGTCAGCTGTCCTTGGACTTCAGAAGCAGGTTAGTTATCGATCGATCGATCGTCCTAAGTTTTGCGGACACTGGATCTTCGACTGCAGCCTTGAGGATACTCTCAGGGCCGTTGACAAATTTAGATTGCAAACTGCTGTCAGCCACCAGGTCTATGTTTTGCTATACTCTTCAGCAATCTGTGCTCATCGCGAGCATTGTATTCTGCAACATGAGTTCGAAACCAGAGGAAACAGAGATCTACAGGAAATAGACACGTAGTGTCGCATCTTCATGTCTTCTTTGGTTTTTCATCTGTGTCACGATCCTACTCTTCGCACAAGGATTTGCATTGTTGGAAGATTGGTTATGTTACACAATTAGATGATCTTGCTTCTTGTCAGATGACTGCAGCGGACTCTACTTGAAAGTTGTGTTATAGTCTGTAAAAGAAGAATGGGCTCATCAGAGAAATTACTTGTCACACTCGTCAAATGGACTGAAGATTTTCTAGTGCAGATAGGCCCAGAGAATTGCATTGCTTACTCACGTAGTAGAGCTAATGTGTTACATATCTCTCAGACGATCTATCACCAGATCTGACAATTGAGGTCATCATAGCTAAACGCAGAAGTCCACAATTACAGAGTCCGGTTAGAAAAGACATCACACTCTCAGCGACTTTAAGATTCGGATGATTCCAGACTTTCCTTCGATTGTACAAGTGGGTCGTCTGCAGCATCTGAATGACATGTGCATCGACAGATCTGGGCACTTCAGATGAACCTTCCACTGTGCATGATCATCACAATCGTCGCAAAATCGTCTTCCAATCTGCCTACTCAGATTGCTTTTTCCAGTAAAAAATGACGTAGAAAGCTGAATCTGAGTTACTGCGAAGTGTACAACAATACGGGTGCGCTGTTGAATGGTTTCAAAAAAGACAACTTTAGACGAAACCGCTTGTAATAAACATGTCATATGTGACTGTCATCCATTAGCAGGTGGTCCACGTGGTAAACTGAAGCCGTGGGCTATTGATTGGGGAGAGTTGGGAGTACTGTAATGGAATAGTTATTCTACTTCCGCGATGTATACGTTATACACATGGCTCTTAGATTTGCAGACTATAAGCAGTAGGTTTGGCTACATTGAAAAAGTTGGTTTGGAGACATATAAGTTGTGAATCATATTAAGAATTGCGATTCTTCACAGTTAGATTGCTTCCAATGCTGGACGATTTTGGAGCATTATATCATAGACAGTTTGTATAATTAACAATATTGTGTGGACTATTACATTTATGTTTTCTTTATCTCTACCCATAGATAAATCAGTTGCATCAACTGTATTCAAGTATCAAACATATATAACCATAAGATTACAAATTATTGAATTTCAACCAAAAAAATGGCTCTAATAAACGAAGTTATATTCATGTGGAAGTATTGATTGGGATATACGTCTTTATGTACATTTCCATTAAAAAAACACACTTAACAGAAATCAATGCGTGTAACAATATATATCAATTTTTTTAGGTAGATTTCATAACTTATTTGAGCGTACGAAACTTATTTATCAAAACTTACATCTCAAAGTATTCATTTATTGGTATAATACATAAGAGTGTGGTCCTCCACTTAGTCCACTCATAACTTATGAGTGGACTAAGTGGAGGACCACACTCTGACGCCAGTAGGACCATGCAGAGAGAAAACTGTTCTGTAGTCAGACATCGATCTGGTCAGGGATATATCTTAGGGAGCAAGGGAACAATTTATTTGTCACTTGTACGATAGTGGTCCATTGGAGGATAAAGAGCGCATGTATCATTCTATGGAGCTTTTGGATTTTGTTTGGCATTTGATCTGAGCTTCGAATTAGAATCACAAGCACGTCGTCAGGCTTCGCAGAGGTGTAAGAAGATTGAGGAGGTCTGAAATTATTTATTGGTCTAACTGTGAGCATGACGGCGTGGAAAGAAAAGCTCGATGATTGCTCGCTCGCTCACCTTCTTTATAGATCACCTCCTACACTATTTTTCCGAATGTTGTTCAATCTGCGGAGTGGATATCGTGCATCTATGAGTGTACTTCGTCGTATCGCAGGGCAGATAACTCATTCCTTTGAAATGGCTTATCTCGCGGATGATCTAGTCTCCTAGGTTTGTTCACGATCGTGTCAGTTCGGTCCTGATAGCTCTGGCGTTCTGATAAGTCACGGCATGAGAGGCTGGAGATTCCGAGCAATCTTTTATTTCTTGCAGTTCAGTCATAATCAATTTTGGGACTTCCTTTTTACTAGCGAGAGGCCGTCAGATCTGACTTATCTACCTAACGGAGTCTTGGACATTCACGTACTATCGACCTGAGAAGGGAAGAGTGGGTCAAGCGCCACGAGGCATTCACCCTGTTACTCCATGTCGTTGCGTGAGAGTTATAGCTCACTCAGATTTGATGCAACGGGTGCAACAGAAATCAAGGATCCATTTTTTAATTGAGGACGTATGCTTTATCGCTCCTTTATCACTTTTGAGGAATGTGTATGTTGGTTTCTTTTTCCTCGTTCAGTCTGTACAATTTCTATCAATCTTGAAGCTAAGAACAGGTAGGACTTGATTTACTGGGTGTTCCTTATTATTGCATACACTGGAACACATGTATAAATAATCATACTTATGTCCATGGCAGCGGCCAAATCAGTTTCTTTGTCTATCATTCATAAGAATGTTTAACAAATCGAGGTTTACAACTTTGGAAAATGGGAAGCGGAGAAAGATACGAATCTGGTTCTGCAGAATAAGAATCATTGTTTGTGACGTCCAGATCAAAACTGCCATGTCTGGGTGTGACAGCCGATTGGCACTGTCAGATCGTCGGGAATATTTTCGGATGGGAAATCCCCGATCGTTGAGTTTCTCTGAAACTCGTCTTCCTCACATAAAACACTAGGACCCAAAATTTTATTCGCTGGATTTCATTTCGATGAGACTGCCCTTTGTCTCTGCTACGTTTGCTGCAGCCTTCTCTGTGCTGAGGTAGAAGTCATTGAAATCGCCTGTGCCAGAGGCCAGGAGCTGTTTCTAGGATTCGTCTTTCCTAATGCATGTCATCAAAATATCAAGAAGAGCTGTTCCAGCCCAGTCACATCTAGTGCACAGGACGCGTTCGAGCGGTTGGCACATTTTGATCACGACAGAGTTTACTTGGACTAAGACTGTGCAATCCTGATTCTCATTGATCTGGCATCACCTCTGGCTGCTCAATGGCTCCTTCCTGATGATGTTGACAGCTTTGTGTGCATGCTTCCAGGTTGGGCTGGAATCGGACGAAATTGTGCAGCTCACAGTGTAGTCTTTCACAGCTGCTGCTCCCGCAATCATCCATGCAGTCGCCAGGAGAAGCAAAGATGTCGTGATTGACATCCTCGCGGAATCCATTGCCTGCTTGCAATCAATCTTTTCCGTCAGACATATACGATCTTGCGGTAAAGCCGACGATCGTCAACAGCACTCCCAGTGCACAGGCTACTGCTGCAACGCACATCCAACCATCGGGTACTTGAACAGATCTGGAAGTGTTTGGGTCTCAGGACAAAGAGAGACAGAATGGTAATGACAATGATGACCAGCTCACGACATACAACCGAACCTACTTCAATGCCTGCTTGGGACAGAACTTACGCTGCCTTCCACTGAATGGGCATCTATCTAACTCTGTCTCTTGAAGGCTGTATCTTTCATCGATGCTCAAGACATCTGATACTCACACAGAGCTCTTGAGGCTTTGTTCGATAGGCCAGGCTTTGTTCCTGTGCAACGTTGTGTTCTTTCAAACTCTCTAAAAATATAATTCCAGAGTCCGGTTCCTATGATGGCTAATTGTTTAACCTCCAGTTCTTTTGTGGGTCACATTTAGTGTGAGGGTTTTCCCTGGGGGCTGACACGGAGATTCATGCGATGCTCTGAACACACCACACGCACACGTATTCTCGTAAAATATGCGTTTTTGCAAAGGAGATACTAAGTTTCCTCGGTCGCTTAAAGACGCTAAACTTTGATCGCTGCTACGGACTCCTCCAGAAAACTTAACAGTCCTTGGATGCCCACTCATCACATGATCTCCATGGTGTGCATTCACGCTCCCTCTAGCGACTATCCAGATGGTAATTATTAACATTAACGAAGATCATAATAAACATACGGTTGTTTACAAGTCTCCTGATGGGAGAATACATCAACTCCACTCCACTTGTGCTTGGGGTAGGCCTACCATGAGCAGAGTATGGCATAGAAGATCATATCCATCGCAGACGTATAGCTCAAGTCCACTGCTGGTCCTTTTGCAGTTGAGACGAGATCGAACAGCCTGATATAAGCGTATTGTCGGTGGACTTACATCCTTAGAAGACAGTTGACACTGCAACCGAGCAAAATACGGTGATTAGAAACACAGTTAAGGAACGTGACGCATTATCGGATGCGACTTGGAATTTATGCCCGAGCATCCATGACGTGAGCCTTATCGGAAGCCGAGGACTTTCCAGCATCGGACGGCTGTATGGCCGACAAGCGTCGTTTGTGTCAGAGTGCTATAATACAATACATCAATAATGTTGCATGTGAAGAGGATTGGCGACTGGCTTCTGTTCGTCGAGGAGAATCTAAATGCATGGGACGGAGTATCTGGAATCTGATTCTTGTGCTACACGAATCCAGTATACACGAGCGAATTGCATCCGAACATGTGTGCCTTTTTTCTTCTTTTATCTAATTCCATCTAATTTGCGCACGGCCACTAATTGGACTCCTAATCCCATTAGCACCTCTCTTTGTTCCTAAACTCTCTCGGAAGCACTTCTCTCTTCTCTAATTAACATGGGGTTTTGGCCACCTCTTGGGAATACCTCGACAAAAGAACTCAGAGGCTTCCATACATTAACTACAATTGCTACTTTCAATAGCAAAATTGCACGTGTGAAACTGCCTTTTGAAGGATTCTTCAATATTGCTCACGTGGCTTTGCAGGTGCTAAAACACTCATGCTTCTGAAAGAAACTAAGAAAGGTTATGTGAAGGAGATTCAGAACTATGAAGCACTTTAACTCAAGTCGCGCGTTTAGCTCTGCTTTTTGCATAAGTGATGTCTTCCATACATGATTAATAGCTTCATATACAACGTGAAACATAACGGATAACATGTGTATTGAGGGACAGAGCATTTTAGACAGGCATTAATCGATTACTGCTTCAATGATTATCAGCCTTCTCCAGCAAATAAGTTTTGCTTCTAGCGAAGAAACTTATATCTTCTTCAATTGAGATGTTAAAACGTGTGGTTCAATCGGAGAGGCAACAGAAAAACCTTTGCTCACAATCGTTAGGTGCTTCTACCCTCCCTTTGTTAGCTGATGAAAGAAACCGGGCCAAGGTCCTTTCGTTTCATTGTTTCGCTCATGGGCCACCCCGGCCACTCTTGCGCTTCAAATTTCTTCTCTTCCGGTGCTCCCTACGTGAGATTTCCATGTCTTTAAACCCATACCTTTGCAAAAAGTAGTTAGAGAGGAAGTTGGGAAATGCAGCAAAAAGTGTCAGGAAGACTAGCGATTTCATGAGAATGGTGAATCCGATGATCAGGCTATCATGGAGGACTAGACGTAATGATCAGGCTGAGGAATCCGATGTCTCCTCGTTGAAGTTTGTTCCCCTCCTCGATCTCATGCACAGAGAGGATAAGTCTGACATGAAGAATCGAATTGAATCCGATGCGCAACAACAGTGTCCGTCACAGAGATCGAAAACCGGAGTACGTAATCCGAAAGTGGATGATGTCCACAGAACCAGGTCCTGGGTATAATAAACGAGGGTCAAAGCCTATGCAAAATGACGCGATGACGGATCTAAGAAGAGCAAAGCCTTCAGGGGTCTCTTATGGACTTCGGCCACAACAGGTCTCGTCATTATGCACTCAAGTCACGCTGGCACAAAGTCTTTCAGGGATCTCGAATCCCACGTCATCTGTGCGTGGTCGGTGTGGCTGCGAACCCGGGCATGTCAATATCCTGGTGTGAGTAGAACCTCAATGCATTACAGGTGAGTGAGCATTCTTCCTGAACTAAAAATGGACGCAAGAAACAAATCGTTGCCTGCTTAGAGGTAAGGGGTCCTCAAGTCGAATGCACCTTTTTCTCGCTTTTTGCTTCATGGATCACGTGTTTATTTGGCCAAGATTTTCCCGTCATGTATGCCAATGACGTATCAACATGAAGCTTCTTCTGGTCAACAAAGTTGAATGTTTTAGCAATTGGGTACCGTAACAGAGTGAAGTTCGTACATCTGACTCTTTCGTGAATTGACAGAAAAGTCAGCTGCCACTAATCATTACTTTGAAAGAAGGATCTGAGTTATAAACCTGTACTTGAAAGATCTCTCGGAATTGAATTTTCATAGAAGAAAATCAATTGCATCTTATTCCAATAGATCGATGATATAAGAAGGTAATGGTAACATACCTGATGTTTGAGAGCACACTTGAGCTGGCTTCAGGCTCTCCGTCATCCTTTCCCCTGCAGTGCAATGCCCTGACAAAATTGAGGAATCGATAAAGAACATGAACGGAATAAGAGAATAATTTAAACAAGGATGGCCCGTACAAATCCACTTTTGATGAACATGTTTTGTATTACAGTGATGAGGCCATTTGTAATTGCAATTGCTTACATATATTATCTGTTGGTCAACTGCTGAAATCACATTATTTGCTTGCTGCAAGAGTTTTAATCTGAAGCTTCGTGGCTTGATACTACGATCCAAGCTTAGAAACTTGAGCGTCCGAAGCAGGGACAGCCCAGCCAAAAGAGGTCTACAGAATAGCAGAACCTTCTCACGCAATCCTCTAAAGCGTTGCAAAAGACACATGTCTACTTGAGCGCATAGGATATCGTTCCAGAATATATGACTATACTGTTACTAAATTCGCCGAAACACAGAAAACCCTCCAGCAAGAAGTTTAATTATAAGAAATAGAATTCTTGTTATTTACAATTTAGGAAGACACGGAGACGAAAAGAATAGAATACCATGAAATAGCAATCCCGCCGAATATCAACTGTCCAATCCCAAGTGCAGATTCTCTATGCAAAGCTCTGATTTTACCTCCTCTAACTACCGGGAGACAAAAGTAGATTTAGGACGCACTGCTGCCCAACTGGAGATTCAGTAGAACCACTCTCGTTTCACTTCCGCTAGCTGGATATAAATAGAGAGGGAACTCCCAGTTCGGCAGGAATGGGAGTTCCCATTCCTGCCGAACTGGAGATTCTGTTGGGAACGTTTCTACCACCCCGACACAGTAACATAGAGGGTGGAAAGTGTCATGCTGGGAAACCCAACCCTTTACAAGTCATGCCTGTTTCATGACATGTGTCCTTATAATCTCGTTGGTAACCACTTTCGGCTATTTGCGTGCAGCATTATAAGCTTTACAGATGTTATGCAGCAAAGTGGCTTTGCGTGCAAACAAATAAGTCCTTGTGCATGTATGGAGATCTTATCTGGAAGGTAAAGTTAGCATATTGTCTTTTACTTATGAGTGAGTTTCCGGACTTTGACTTTGTTGGCGGTCCTCTGCGGTGGGGACGGTCGCATGAAGGTCAATTCGTAGTCTTATTGTAATGCTGGTTAGAGAAAACGGTTGACGGCGACCAATAAGGCAAATCGACAAAAGAACCAAAAATACAGCCATCAACCGCCAATGGCACTTTTATCGGGAATATTTGATAAATATATGGTGAGGGTTAGAACTGATGTTTTATTTTCATAAACTGAAGAAACCTAAACGAGTGCTCGTTCTACATTCCCATTCGACATGGTTAATTTAAATGTGGTATAGGAATTAATACTTTAATCAGAGGATATCCGAACACATTCAAGAGATTAGTACTATGCATTTGAATCTTTTCGTCTCTAAAATAGGCCTGGAGCAACAGAGGAAGAATTTCAAAGAGTAAAAAAAATAAAAATGTGGTCGATAAAGCACAAGAGATGCACTCAGTTTTGATGGAACTCCAAAGATTTTATGTAGTGACAGTACCACATATCGCTTCATACCACAAAAGAATTTAGTCACGTTGTATAAATTTGATGCAAGAATTAGTATTTAGATATGATAAAATATAAAGCTTTTGTTTCAAAAATAAAGTACTAGAATAGAGTTGAGTCCTCTTTCGAACGTAGTTTAATAGAATATATTCACGACTAATGTATAATCATGAACGTGTATGTAGATGAAATTCTTCGTTCAGATAACTTCCATCTGTTGTCTTGTCAATTAAGGACATGGATTCATATGGGGATTCCTGATACGGGTAACATAAGGCTCAGTCCCAATAAACCACAAAGGCCGGAATGCCCAATTTGGACAAGGATTGCAGAAGAATGCATACAAATCATTTGATACAGTGAGATGATTTGCATCCGCTTGCTCCACTAGACTGCATTTATGGGACTTCTAAGTTGATATCGTTGGGACTGGTCCCGTTCCTAAGCATAGGGATTTGGACATGACTCATGTCACATGAGCAGTTGTTGAGGCTGGTCCAGGTCCCTGGCCTGGGGAACAGGCAGGCGAGTTCAGGAGGGCCCAGTCAGAGGCAGTCAGCTGTCAGTCATGGTGTGTAGACTTTTAGACTATAGATGCACAACACACCTCCCGTTTGCTTCTGGAAAAAGCTCGCAGCCATGGACTTGCCAGTTCGGAGACGGAAAAGGCTGGAACGATGGCATGTTCTTCCTATCTTAAGCATGATCCGGTATTTCATTTTTGGCAAGTTTCTACACGACGAGAAATCCGATCGATGGAGGAGGGTATTTAAACTTCTCCACGATCCAGGATTCTGCATTGAATCAGTCGAGATGGAAGCTTTACAATGAACCTGAACCCGAGTCCAAACTCTGGACCGGCTGAAGCTGACCTCACAGCAGAGAAATTCTTGAGCTCCACTGGACTTCGAATATCTGCAGAGCTTCAGCTAACGAAATCGGGGTAGTGAATTCTCGAGCTGCAGCGAAGACTCTTCAGCGATGCACTCGACTAAAGAAGGGACCTCGGGAAGCAGGGGAGGCCTCATGGAGATGGTCTCACTTACAGTACCTCAATCTTCCAGCAGCAATTCAGCGAGAATGGCCGGGCAAATCTCACAGAGAGCACGGAGAAGAAGCGGTACAGTAGCACTCGTTTTCAGTTGCTGTGTTGTTGCAGTAGTTCTATGCATGGTGTTCCTCGTATCGCCTCAGTCTGCAACGGGAACTCAGGATTCCTCTGAAGCCTCTGAAGCTGTCGTCCACAATCATCATCATCATCATGGGGTTAGCTTTCAAGAAGTCAAACATCGACCCAGTGGTGTACATGCCGATGATCAACAGTGGGGAGAATCGAAAGCCACTTACCAGGCTACCATGAACCAGTCGCTCCCTTACCGTACTGCGTTTCATTTCCAGCCCACCAAAAACTGGATGAATGATCCCAACGGAATGATGTATTACAAGGGGTGGTATCATCTGTTCTACCAGTACAATCCTTACGGTGCACTGTGGGGCAATATCGTATGGGGGCATGCTGTGTCCAAGGATCTCGTCCATTGGAAGTACGTGGACGACGATGCCATCGTCGGAGGTCCCAAGTGGTATGATCTGCTGGGAGCATGGTCCGGTTCGACCACATTTCTAGAAGATGGTACTCCAGCTCTTTTGTACACAGGGTGGTCGAATGTGTCCTCTGTCGTACAAATTCAGACGCAGAATTTGGCACTTCCCGTGGACAAAGAGGACCCTCTGCTGAGAAAATGGTACAAATCCGAGGCCAATCCGGTCATGGTGGCCGAGCCATGGATGGATGCGACCAAATACAGGGATCCGACCGAGGCATGGAAAGGAAAGGACGGACTCTGGAGGACGCTCATCGGAGCCAGGCTGACAGACAACGTCACAGGCACATCGCACCTCTACAAGAGCAAGGATTTTGTCAACTGGACGTATTCGCACGACATCCACATGATCAATGGGACGGGAATGTGGGAGTGTCCGGATTTCTTCCCAGTGGCGCTGAAGGGGAAGAGCGGCCTGGACGTGTCGGTCAGCAATGGCATGGTGAAGCACGTAATGAAGGTCAGCCTCGACAACAACAAGCACGACTACTACTCGGTGGGCACCTACAACGAGCAGACGGATGAGTTCAAGGGCGACAGTCCGAGCATCGAGGTCGGGATCGGATTGCGCTACGACTACGGGAAGTTCTACGCATCCAAAACCTTCTTCGACAAGAAGACGAACAGGCGCATCCTCTGGGGCTGGTGCAACGAGTCCGACAGCGATAACGATGCGCTCACGAGCAAGGGCTGGTCCGGGATCCAGGCGCTGCCCAGGCAAATCTGGCTCGACCCGGCCACGCAAGTGGACCTGATCCAGGTGCCCGTGGAGGAGGTCGACGGCTTGCACAGGGACAAGGTGAGCAGGAACGGATTCACGCTCACAGCAGGCGCCGTCATGCCGATGCCCGGAGTGCACGGGCCGCAGCTCGACATCCAGATCAAATTCCTCAAGCCCAAGCTCGAGCAATCGAACGCGCTCTTCGAGGGGTCGGATGTGGCCGCGCTCGAAGCGCAGCTGACCTGCAGCCGCACGGGCGCGGCGCACCGTGGCTACCTGGGCCCATTCGGCGTGCTGGTGCTGGCGGACGAGCAGCTGCAGGAGCAGACGGCGGTGTTCTTCTACCTGCAGGTGCTCAAGGACGGGACGTGGAAGGGCCTGATCTGCAGCGACCAGAGCAGATCGTCCATGCAGGACGACGTCGACAAGACGGTGTACGGGACTTACGTGCGCGTGCTCGAGAGCGAGAAGTACCTGAGCATGCGCACGATCGTCGACCACTCGGTGGTCGAGACCTTCGCCCAGGGCGGCCGCACCGTGGTCACCTCGCGCGTCTACCCGACCGTGGCCGTCGACCAGGCGGCGCACTTCTTCCTCTTCAACAATGGCTCGCAGGATGTTCAGGTCCACAGTTTCAACGCCTGGCGCATGGAGTCTGTGCACATGGAGCAACTGCAATTTTGAGGCGGCCGCCCGGTGAGTGTATCGATAGGTTCGTGGTTCGAGGGCTCGGAAGAGGTGCGGCAGCAGCAGCAGCAGCGTAGGTTAGAAATTGTCGTCGAGATTTGAGCGCTGATTCACTTCTGTTGATTAGGTGTGTACATATTCGGGTGGCATGGGATTGGCGGTCGTAAGAGGCAGTGTAATTCTCACGGAGTGGATCGATTCCTTCTTGTACAATTGTTGGCTGGATCGCCCGCCTGTCTGATCGATTGATTGTGGTCTATTTCATCATCAATAAACACATTCTCACAAGAGGGGTATGAGATTGAACATTTTCTTCAATCTCATTTTGTTCATTTTGTACATTTTGTAAGTCGGTAGCCGAGGGAAGCTTCCTTGTCGTGCTCGGTTTAGGAACGGCATCAACTTGCCCCGTCAACTTGTCGTCCGTGTAGTGAGGATGCGAAATGTCACAGCAACTTTCACGGCATGCGTTCCATGGCCCATCATCTTATGGACCTCTGTCAGCGGAACGACCAAATTTTCCATTTGATCGGTAATTGCTAGCGGAACATCACTTCGAGCGGTTGACAGAGGTGTGGAGCCGGGGACTCCAATCCTCAATCATGGTACTTGTCTGCCGATGCGTAATGTCTCGTGCAAAAGTTTGATTGTAAATATCTAGGCAGTGGAATTCACGAGGCTAGGGCTGACGTCCTACAGGACGCATCCAAACTTCATATGAATGCGTCTCCTGCCAATCTCAGGTTCCGAAAACTCGGTGGCTGCGACATTTTTAGTGTGTTGTATATTTACAGTAACGACGACCTCACCACGTCGGGCGCCAAGATTCTGGGTCACCACCCAGAATCATTTCAAAGTCTTGTGAGATTCGATCTCCGGATACCTGTGAGTAAACCGTCACGACATGTTCTGTCGGAGCCCGTGCGTCCCGAGTATCAAGCCCCGGACGCACGGATAATGAAATTTATTATATGTTACATTATATTTTTGAATTAAAACTGAATCATTTCTTACTGCAATGATATCTTTACATTGTTTAATTGTAAGGTTTTATGGGTACTTCCATGTATTTCTTTCACAAATTCACCATTCATTGTTTTTTCCTTTCCCTTTTGACTAAGTCGTTAAAGGTTCTTTAGAGTAGCCCCAAGCTAATTGGAAGATTATGCTGATCGTCGAGCACCGGCCATTCTAAAGATTCCTATTTACGGTTCAAGCTCTATCCAGCTGATAAGGCTACGGACTATCATAAGCCCGGGATTGACTATCTGATAATGACTAGCCGGGAACAAGATTTTGCTTTTTACCGAAATAAAGCAAATCGTAATTAGTTATCTACCCCATAGTCGGTCCGTTTTCCAATTAAAAACTCAAGTACAGAAATTGAAACGTGGTGCTGCTGGAGTTGTATAAGGACGTCAAACTCACTTGCTCGATATCGCGAGTAGAAGAAGTAGTAGTCAAAGACGCTTGGCAATATGTGTAATAGAGCTCTATGAATAATGCATTTCTTAACGCAAAAATAAAGACACAGGATGTTGAAGTTACACAAGCTATTGCATGTTTAAATCTTTGAAGAATCTTTGAGCTTGAAGAATTTGTTCATCTCGATGATGAAAATAATGAAGTATTTACCGTTGAAATTTTGGATGACATTGAAGAATTTTTGGAGACTATGAAAATTGCGGAATCTCGATGATAGAAACTATGATGATCTTCTTGATTCACAAGATTCAGATTTAGGAAAGAACGTTGTATTAAGGAATTTGAATTAATATTTAAACAACATGCTACTTGTGTCCAGGTGTCGACGTAAAGTGATCTAAAAAATGCAGGAATCGTTATGAAACGTTTTGAGGATGTGCAGAACGTTGTGATTGGTTGTCTGATAACCAAACCTGCACAGTCTTTCTATACGGATGTGAATCTCAATAATGCTAGATGCAAGTGAATAGATTGTTGATAGACAAGGACGTAAAGTCAACTACTGAAAGTATAAACTGGGAAATAGTGCTTTAGCGTAACCAGGATGTTCTGCCGTCTATTTGCTGATGCACCTCTTCAAGCATGTCTTTTTCACTTTTCGATCCATTATTGAATGGCTTTGCATATGTCGTGGGACGCTTCAGTCACCGGGTGTCGTGACGGGCCTTACACCGAGAAGACTAATCGGACCAATGGATATGAAATTTGAAAACTGGAAAGTCTGGACTTACTAATGACTAAGACATGAGTAGTTCTCTTCCCTTGCTGCATGAATTCAACTCGAAGCTCGACGCTTGTGAAAACCTTTAATCTCGACTATGACAATGCTACGTTTGTGCATCATCAACACTGACATAAGTAGGGCAATGGGGAGGAGAGAAGGAGCGAAGGAGAGAGCTCAGTGGGATACACGAGTAGCGTGCAGGCACAGTCGGACATGCTTCTTATCAAGGCAAAAGTTGGCTAGTTATGACTAGCATCGATCTAGATCACGATAGAGTTAGGGAAGCGAAAAAACAATCCAGATAAATTGGAATGAAGGAAGTAGCACAAAAAGACTTGGAGTGTGAGGTAGCAGAGGTAGAAGAATGTGTGGGATGTAGCCCAACACAAGAGTGATGTATCTTAGTGCTTGTTACGATGACATCAGCCTCCAATCCATGATACATAATACTGACGACTTATTCCTTCGCCAGGATTTTGCTATGCAGATGAGGGATAATGAGCAATGCGGACAAACTAAAGAACTATTTGTCAAAATGGTGGCCACTACACCCGCAAAGTTTGCAAACTAGGATGGATCAGGAGCAGAAGAGGCCAAGGCGATTCGGAACTTTGTGGAATTCGCTAACCATACCTCACTTTAATCAGAGCATCTTCTGTTGATCAAGGACTTACAGCTTAGAAAAATGTTTCCCGGACATCCACTGGTTCATACAGCATATGTTCTAGCTTCAGTATAATTGAGGAGGAAAACAAGACCAAGCACGACTAATTTGTCCAAGTCTTCCGAGGATACATCCCTTGTGCAAGTCCAGCCAGGTGTTTGAGAAAAAACGAGCCAGAATGCTACTGAGTACCCATGAACTGTACATATCAACATTCCCACGCCTAGGATTCAATACTGAACGATTTGCTACTGCTGAAAGTAGAAAAAAACATAAATAAAATTTTTATATATATGAATCCTACCAGACTTTCGAATACTCCCCTCGAAACTTTCAGCGAGATCCTCTCCATCCTGGCAATCATCAAATCATGGCCAAATGTGGGTCCATCCAACACAATAATTTCCAAAGAAGAAAAGACAAATAATTTTGACCTTTCTTTAAGTTTTCAAATCCAGGATAATTTTCAATTTGATGCATTTCCAAATATTTCATAATGACTATCTGAATTTGCTGTCAACTCTTAACAATTCATTGATTCAAAATGGAGTAACAAAGTTCATGCGTTCCTACAATCTCAAAGCAAGATTCTAGTTTATCGAATACTTTAACATTCACTAGTTTTAAAATATTTTCTTCTCTATCATCAATCGCGTGGCCTTGTTATTTGAAATTTAATGCCCAGCCCAGCACAGAACACAACCCAATCCGACCTCCCTCCCTCTACCAGTTCCGTCGGATTCCAGTCGAGCGTTCGCCGCCCTACAATCCCAAGAGAGAAATTTCCTCTCTTGTTGTTGATCTCCAGCCTTTTCTTCCTTGCTTCGTTTCTCTTCTTTCATCCTTCCACCACGACCGTTTCGTACTCCCCCACTAGAGACAGATCTGCTAGCAACAACAGCACACAACCAGTCACTCGGCCCCAACAGCCCTCCCTGCTCCTACTAATACTTCCCCTGTCCATGCGGTTCCTCTTCTTGGAAGCAACTGGATCTGCTTGTATCAAAATCCTCCTAAGTAACTCGTTTTCTCTCGTCCTCCGTCACTCACTGGCATCTGTTGAGCTTCGAATTTTCCGCTACTCACGAGTAGGGTTGGAGGCACAACAAAATTTTTCGAGGCATGCTCATTCCCCCTTTCAAGGTCAAAAGGCATGCCCCATGCCCCATGCCCCATATATTTTATGTATCAAAAAATATACTTATATGAAACTAAAGCACTCTTAGAAGGAAAAATAATCAACACGAAAATGAGAGCTTCAAACCCACACTATAGTAGAATCTCGAAGTGTCTACCGAAGGAATCAAAGCAAGAACACGTGTTTAGGTTACCTGCAGAACAAAAGGGCCAGGCTATTTTATGGCATGGAGGGAGTGCATAGAAGCAGGAAATACTACAGCACCAGCCATATTCATATCAGCCATCAAAAATTGTGCAGAACAAAAGGGCTAGACAATTCTGTGGCATGGAGGGAGTGCATAGAAGTGGGAAGTATTTTGAAGAAAGAATGGAGATATTGTGACACAGAACACGAAATATTGTGAAGACAGAAGAAATGCAGAAGTATATAACATAAACAATGTATGTAACAAATGAAAGAAAATTTACAATGTGAAGTGACTTTCTGGGCCGGAAACAATAACGTGCACATAGCATATGTTTGTCAACATTTGCTGGCATCACATATAATCATGTGCCATGAAGCAGAGCTAGATCTAGTTTAGTGGAGATCGTCCGAGCCTCAAGGAAATATAATTCCTTATGCTAGACATCCGGTTCATATGCTGAAGGTAATAAAGCCGGAGGACCTACCGACACAAAAACAGCATTGCACATACTTTACAAATCCTTCAGTTCCAGGAGCAGTTTCAGTACCATGCAGCCCAACAACAAGCATAATTTCCCATTTATTTCTTGACATATCACACCATCTGTAACTCTCGAATAAACATATAAATTTGTTCCCTTGAGAATCGAAATAACAATCCCTACGACTATATGAGGTATTCCTATACTGTTTTGTTTTCTAAGATTTCTTTTGCGCTGACTTAAACGAACCACGAGGCAGAGCCAGAAGAGATGTATTTTCTTTTTAATTGCATTCGAGAAACTCGGTAGAGTTGTTCTCATAACATAAAGATTGGAAGCAAACATACGAATTAGTTCATCACAACTGGTCATAACATACACATATGAAAGACATTGTAGCGAGAGGTTAAAGTTGACTAAGGTGACAGCACGGTTGATGTTCAATCGCAGTACCAGTAGTTGCTTGATAGAAGGTTGCTTTGAAATTGAAGTACTGACTTCACACAGGATGTTCAGCAGCACTTAAAGCTAAAGGAGAAAGGAGCCGTCGTTCAGATGGTGGCTATCGTGTAGCTCTACCATAGACAAACCCAACGTGATGAAGTGGAGATCTGTAACTCAATCTATAGAATGTCGAGATGCCTACATCCGAGGTACTTTAAAGGGCGAAACCTTGCACAGGTGAACGTTTGTTTAACACTACACGCTGATAAAAACTTGTCTTCGGTTTCGTTCATATCTTTCTCTTCCGTGATGAGGTATGTCCTCTCAGTGAAAGGCCAAGTTTCCCGGAACAGGTTTAGAAAACAACAATCCATCTTACGTTATCAGGTGTAACGATCCTGATTTAGGAGACGCTGCCACTTATTTGACTAACTACAGTTTTCTTTCATCCCAGTTGAGTTGTCATCGAAAACGATGACTTGCGACCAGAAATTTGCCACATTTCAGAAAACTTGACAAATACTGCCGACAACTTTCCGCGTTTTGCGACACAAACGATAAAGAAAAGATCGCTAACTATTCATTGGAAGGTCAAAAGATCAATTGAGTGCGCTTGGTAACTCTAGATACAGTTGGAACGACTAAAGGTCGTGCATATGTACAATCTATCCTATGTGGATATTGGGAGTCGACTCTCCTCTACATGGTAGATATAGACAAAAACCGACCGTTCCCCTACTGACTTGCTGAAGGTATATACCTACCACGTCTATCCATGGACACAATTTTCAGTGGACTTTCAATAAACGGTCGGGGTAGAGAATAGGTAAATCTTGGTTGATGCAGACTACGGACAACTGATTACTACTCTTCTGAACCGGGTATGCCACAGCAGGCTCCATCAAACTTCGATGAAGACTAACTGGCCTTGTTCCCATTTGACTGTGATTCCACCACCTATGCTAGATTCAACAGGCAGCTGCAGTAGATAATAGCACCAGGTGCAATACTTCAATGGCTAAACAATTCATCTTCCACTAACAGAGCATAGTCTCGTATCCGCTTCAAATGCACCGCACAATAAAACTCTAAGTTTCTTGTGTACAGAGACATCAACACTATATATTCAACTGCTGCACAGTACAAGAATAACACTCCAAGCGCATATCTCCATTCACCGCAATATCACTCAAATTTGCACACCTCAAACTGCACTTATATTCCGAATTATAAACTCAGCGATATTTTGAGATAAGGTAAGTCTCTCTTGGAATACCTTGGTTGAAGCCTGTTAGATATCCAACATTGAGCTGAGTTAAGTTGAGTATGATACTTGGCTGCTGAGGAAGATTCAGAAGACAGGAGAAAGGCGACGGTAGAAGTAGGCTATGACACAACACGGTTGATTCACAGAAAGGAAGAGATAGAGAGATTATGTTCAACTAGGAAAACATAGATCAATTCCAGAGGTCTGGACTGAGAAAAAGGGCGGATTGAGGACGGGCAAAGGCAAAAACCAAACGCCATTAAGTACCGGTACTAGATATTACTTTCAGCTTCCGTCTGCTGAAGTTGGGATAGGGACATAATAGAGGTAAAATATAGAATTGACACGGGAGTATAGACATAGAGACTATCTATAAAACATTGTCACAACTCTGCGTAGGTTGAGTTTAGAGCTCACAGTATTTCAAGGAGGAAGGGTAAGAAATCCATGTGGGAAAACAAGTAATTTTCCTACACGTTAACTACGACCACTCCCTCCCCCTCAAAATGCCAATATGCTTAGGATACATGAATCAATAATGAGTTGCTAGTGTACAGAAAACACTCAAAGGTCGAAGTGCCTCCATAATCATACAACCACCTGAGAAGTCTTCAGGTCTTCGCTTGATACCCTGAACAGGGTAACAGGAACAGAGTACCCTAAGTCCTTCAGCCATTCCATTTCGGCTCGAAGCCAAACCTGCCTCCCAGACTAAGAGCCGAGGGACCACAACAGCTTCTCGCTTCTAAGCTCCGAAGTACCAGAAATCCGGTACTTCGTTCGCTATCTCTAATCCATCTGTCAGTATGCCAGTACTGTCAAGCCCAATGTCCGCAAGAGACGGTCCCAACCCAAAATCGTTGGGAAAGTCTGCCTGCTGTCCAAAGTTATGCTCCAAGGTCTTGTTGTTCTCTTCACCCACCTGGTAGTTGTGAGCCACCTCGTTTCCGGTGTCAAAGTTCTGACCGAAAACAAGATTTTCCTCTGGCCCAAGTCCAACTCTCTCTTTCCCACTCTCCACAATGTGTATTCCAACGGTACCATTTCCACCTTCATCCAAAACTCCCATGTTACTGATGTCCATATGATTGTCCTGTGACATCTCAAATCCATTCAAACCGGCAAATAAGTCCTGCAGAGGCTGTCCCGGATTCATAACCTGCCCCCCAGATATGTTTTGAGTTCCAAGCCCTCCCACAGCCACAAACGCTGAAGGACCCTGGGCAACAGCGACAAGCTCAAGACCCGTCCCTCCGACAACCTGCGGAAAGTGCCCAACTCCAGGATGTGTAAAAAATCCGGAATTTTCAGGCCGAAACGGGCAGCTCATCTGGTGCATGTTTCGGGTCTCCTTGGTTGTGAAGGCGCCTCGCCATTCGTGGTGGTGGCACCTCTCGTAAGCACAAGTGTAACCCACATGCTCAGGTACTATGACCTCCCTGAAGGTCCTCTTCTTGCGCCAGTCATCACCCATGTCTCCATCCAGTCCACGTCCAGAAGATTTTTCAAGACCTACATCAGAAATCTCCTTGTCCCGGGCACTGGAGTTGGGATAGTTGGACGGCTTATTACCGCAAAAAGGGTCGTAATCTTCAGAGTGCTCATCCTGGTCGTCGCTGGGTGAAAGAGAATCACCGAACCCTTCGACATCATACTCACTTGCACTACTCATCGCCAGGCCAGCACTTCCAGGAGTATTGGTGCTGCTCACCACTCCCTTCTGTTGCCGAGCGAGAGTCTCCTCTTGGTTCAAGACGGACAACCAGGTTGCGCTTTCTTTGGCGGTCATTTTGTCCTGAAGACATTTGGACTGCCTTACCAGCTTCCTGATTTTGCCGATGTCGGGAGACATGTGCTTGATTACGGCAGTGAGTACACCCACCTTCCAGGCCTTCTTCAGATCGTGAGGTTTCTTATAAGGAGGAGCCCCCTGTCCCTTGGGCAAGCCAACTTGAGGCCACCATTCCTCATCACCGGATGGCCACCATGGCGGTGGTATTCCTTTTTCAAGCGGATAACGCCGCTGAGGGGGGTCACAGTGCTGCATAAGTGCAGAGAGTAAAGACCCGAGAGTCGTGTCCTGAAGCTCCTGCAAAGTATGTGGTGTAGGAGCTGGAGTGATATTACCCTCGGGCTTTGGAGGAAGCCCGTGCTCTGCCTGATACTTCGCAATTGCCAGAGGACCATTCCTGTCAAATCTCACCTTCTCCTTCCACCATGCTCGGATGTTGTCCGAAGCACCGCTCACTGGCTTCCCTTTCTCCGGTATGATTCCGTAGACAAAACCCTGTGCCTTGCACACTTCCATCATTTTCAACATGTACTTGAGAATGCCATCCTGAGCGCGGGACATCTTCTTCCGACGAGCCTGCTCTTGAGACTGTTTGTGTCTCGGTCGCTCTCGGAGATCCTTGGCTTTCTGGTTCTCCTTCATCCGCTTGAGTTTTAACCGATCCCTCCACATCCTCTTCTCGAGCTCGTCGATGTCCTCATCGGACAGTTCATAGTCATGCATCCCGTCTCCTTCTCCGTCGTTCATGAAATCCACCATGTCCAGGTGGTTTCCGTATTCCAGATCGTCATTGTGGTCCATGGTCCCTGCTTTTTTAGAACTGCCTCGAGATGAAATTCGAGCCGTTCCAGACGGCTCACTTCAGCCTACAGCTGAGTTACGAAACACAACAATACCGACAGCGTCTCCTTGCCAATCTGAGGCAATGAGACCAACACAACCTTGACAACGTCCCTTCACAGCTCTGCTCCCAGCTGGCACTACTGGTTGATGAACAGATGATAAAAGTTCCCGTGGATAACAGCCTGAGCTACTGGGAAAGGGGTCCCGGCTCTCCCACTAGCACAGGGCTACGATCCCTTAAGGACCAGCTTCAATTCCGTATGCAATTGTTGCGACCTCTTCCGCATAGACCACTCGATATGCGGCCAATTCAACTGATGGGGAAAGAATAAACGAAACCTCTAACGACAGTTGGACTCCAATCTAAGCTCGGCTCCATACGTTCCATCCGTGTTTGTCTTGACGGTAGCTCACACTTCCTGGTGTAACGATCATCATAGCAAAAATGCTTGACCCAATGTGCACACCTGTATTCCTCGAGTGTGTGTTACCGCAAAACTCACTCACCGTTCGTCTTCGACAAAGTTCGAGATGCAATCTCCCGGTGGTGTCCCGCCACAAACAGCGTATCGTTGACACGGAACCAGCAGCAGCCCGCCTTTGATCAGAATGCATGAGACCAACGTCAGCTTCCTTTTATAAACATCATCTCTGCTTGTGCTGTCTCTTCGAAAAACTGAGCAGCACAAGAAGGAAGCAAGTATTCCACCCAGATACTGTGTGTAACTGCTTCTTCGTCGGTGAAGAAATACCAGGACGCGTCGCAAGTCACCAGGGTAGAGGGGGGCTCGGGTGATGGCGGGGGGGAGGAAGAGGTTAGAGAGAGAGGGAGAGAGAGAGGGAGAGTAAATCAGCCATACGACCTGCGGGCAGCACTAGCTACCACGACAGACGGATGACCCCCAATGGCAAGAATGTTAAGGAAGGTGACCCCGAGTCCCCAAAAAAATGATGAAATTTACCAAATAGCCTTTCCAAAAAGAAGAGATTGTGTAGTTCCCAGTAATGGGATTGCAAACTCTCTGCGTCTTCTCAGGGGCGCACTCAAGGACGCTCAATCTCTACACTAACCTACAGGATTTGTTTGAATTCTCCCTCCCTCTCCCTCTCTCTCTCTCCCTCTCTCTCTCTACCTCTACCTCTCTACCTCCCTCTCCCTCTCTGTCTCCCTCTCTCTCTCTCTCTCCCTCTACCTCTACCTCTACCTCTACCTCTCTATCTACAAACTAACACGAACGCTCTCCCTCTCTCTCCCTCTCCTTCTCTCTCACACCACCCCCGCCGATATGTAACAATTACCTCCTACCCCTCCTGACTTTGCCGCGATGCAAGTAAGACCACATTTTGCCGATTCCAAATATCACCTCAGGGCCTTCAGGTTCTTCGGCAGGAACTTGAAACCTCTCTTACTGACGGGCAATTCGTTAGGAATATGGCAACATAAGTATCATTGACCAAGCTGTGGGCCCGATTCAACAAGTGCGATGCGATGGTGCATCCTCTATCACTGCGATGTGACAGACCGGTACCGATGGGACTCCAGACCGGCTCTCCACGGACTCCTTGATGTAATTGGACAGGACACCGTGTTGTGAGTGATCTCCTCCCACAAGGAAGTTCCTCCTCCGCCCCTTACGACCGAGGAGGAGAAACGAAGACGAAGAATCTGAGTGTGAAGGGTTGTCCCGACAAAAAGAGACAAGTGCTGCTGAAATGTGCGAGAGCTCCGAGTCGCACAATCTGTCTGGTATTACCACCTGACTCTCCCTAAACAGAGCTCCTGGATGGATCAAGCTCTTTCCTGAGGACCTGAAGCAGCGCGAACTCTACTCTAATCTACGTCAAATGTGTCCTCCCGTCTTCGTTCCCTTCTTCTACTCTCCTTCTCCTGACGAATCTAGTAACCGACAGACCACCCGCGGTAACACCTACGTCTACACTAATCTGAACTACCAAGCGGCAAGAGGATTCGGTGAAGGATGCCGAAGAACACGCTGCGGAGGCCGGGCGATTACCTCCGACGGCACTGCTTCCCGCCCCTGTGCATAGACGACCACATCGCTGCTGATGACTGAAGGACCGCTCAGAACACGAGGTTGCAACGATGATGAAACACGGGCAAACAGCGGAGAGAGCACAGATCGCTGAAGAGCGCGCAGCAACGACGAGCAGCAGCAGCAACGACAACAAGGTACAAGGGCCTGTGCCTCGGCACCTCAATACCAAACGGGCCGAGCTCGCTTCTCGGACGCACGCACGACAGAGACTCGGAAGGATGTGACACCCTTCTCCGTGGCCAAGAGCCGCTCGGTAATTTCCAGCTTTTTCACTTTTTACTCCTCCTTTCCAGCAACACTCTGCTGCTTACTGCTTTACTTTCCCGTCGGGCCTGCTTCACCGCCGGCGTCTAAACCCCACTTTCCCGTGAGCTTCGTCCAACCAGATACTCACCGGCCCCACTTTTACCGACGTGTCAGTGCGCTGCCTCTCTTGCGAATAGCCTCACCCTCCTCTCGTCCGCCTTGGACCCTCCAACGGGCTCAGATATTTTCCAGGTTCGCCTCGGCACCGGCTATCCGCGGTCTGCAGCGCAGCGGCATCCGGGACGACTTCCGTCCGGGATGGCGATGGCTTTCCGGCAGCCGCGACTGCGACCGAGGCGAATCCCTCGCCAGACGTCCACGTCTCCCTATCTCCTTGACGCAGTACAGCCACCGGCTATCTACGGTCGTCCGTCGACTGCCCCGCCCTGCGAGTTCCGTCTCTCCGCCGTGAGCCCGCTTCCCGGGGATATGACGGACACTTCGATCCATCAATAGCCCGCGGCCACGTTGGCCGGTCGGGCCAACGTGGCGGATGAGGGTAGGGTTTTCTGTGGATGGGGAGAATGACCTAATGTCTGCGGTCGTGAACCCCCATGTAAAGCTAAACAACGCTCTCGCCCTCCGAGCCGCGACCACTGAGAAAAGGCAGAAACGAAAGAACGGAACGAAAGGAACCCAAACGAACGAGCGATGGGAGATGGAGCGGGAGGCCTACCGTAGTCGAGAAGCAGAGCCGTAGCAGAGCGAAGCAGCAGCAGAAAGGACAGAGAAAATCCGATTGAGGCTGATAGGGACGGAGCAATGATGATGAATCAATATTAAAAGGGTATTTTCCCCGCTGATGACATCTTTGTCAATCCAATACATATCTGCGCTATGCTGAAGCAGCAAGGGAAAGTGGAGGCGAGAGCAAGTGCGAGACTGAGCAAGCTGCGGTGCCTATGCCATTGGCAAAGGCAGATAGGCAGGCGCGCTATATCGTGTCTGTCTGCTGCATACAGACAGAGAACGGAGCTGCGTCTGCAAGAAATCCTTGCGCAACGGATTCGGTAGGACTCCGATGCTTTTGAGGTTGGCAGCAGTACAGCGGCGAGAAAAAAACCAACACAGCGATGGATGGATTCTAGAGGAGATCACCATTCCCATATCATTACAACATCCTGCAAAGTGCATCCTGCCACTGTAACCCTCGTCTGGAAATCCGGGCCACGGCTGTAAGTAGCAACAATGACGAGGACGATGAGCAGGAGGGATCAGGGCCACTCGGGGTAGCCTAATTCCCCATGGTGACTAAGGAGGGGAACGCCAGAAAGAAAATTGAGTTCGGATAGAAGGTAGCATACGACTTACACGGATCTGAAAGGATATGGCAGGCAGCCTGTAGCCGCAGTCCCGAACGGACTGGCCTTGCCTTGCCTGGACTGCACTCTGGACTTGTCTGCCGCACTACTCTCGTACCTACAGTACCGTAGCGAAGGAAGTGCCCTGAAAGCGGACGGGATATGTACTGTACGGTCCCCTCCTGTTATTGATTGATCGCTACGCTACGGCCGTAGATGTTGGAGTCATAGTAGGGCAGGAGGAGCTTCCCTACCGTACTCCTACACTTGCCCCGGGGCGAGAAATCGAGAGAAAGATATTGCAGGCTGGAGAATATCCTTCCTGGTCATGGCCACCCGCTCTAGAAGGGCCCGAGGAATTGGTGTTGGTCACACAAGGAGCCTATTGCAGAATTCTTTTGAGCCCCACCCACGCTGTTCGGGACCCATAAGGGAGTCTTGATGTGATCTATGCAGCTAAATTCATTGTGCGCTTTATTTAGAGTCACCCAGCACATGAGAAGGGTAGACTCGTCCAAGCCTTGCTCATTGACTAACCTATGAAAATATTATGTTGAGCTCGGAACAGCAGCTTCCTCCTTTAAAAATTTTTCACCAAGTCTTTAGGGCTGGACGACATGGTGGTTCCGCATACAGTAGATTACTTCCACACCCGATCCTACTGTGAATAGATGGATACTCTACTGTAAACGGCGAGCAAAGCAACGGTGGCGATGCCGTTTACAGTAGAGTATCCATCTCTTCACAGTGGCGATGCCGCGACACGAGAGTGCAGTCACAGATGCCGCGAAATTATGATGACCAAGAAGACCAACATGCAAAAGACGATTTAATGGTGCGAACAAAAAGTATAAGAGTTAAGCGTGCCCTAAACCAAGAGAAAGAAAAATAAAAAAATTGTGAACAAAAGAAGTAGTGGGTTGTCCCTCCTCTAAATGCCCAACATGATGCGAAAGAGAGAGAGGTAGCAAGGAATATAAAGGATGAGCTCTGTTCACCCATCGACAAATCATTTCTTCTGGAGTCAATGATTCGGCTGGCTGATTGAAAGCTAGTACTACATGTCATCCTTTGCGGAACGTAGTCTCTTGTAAGCAACCACACCATTCAGAGCGATATTACAGATCAACTCAAGATATCTCATAAAGAAAAGCCATACTTGTAAAACCCAGACTAGCAGCACATGATGCACACCAAACTACAGCCGATATAGTTATCAACGACCACCCTTGCTTTGCTCGCCGTTTATAGTAGAGTATTCATCTCTCCACAATAATATCGGGTGTGGGAGTAATCGACTGTATGCGGCACCACCATGTAGCTCAGCCCTAAACACATGGTGAGAAATTTTGTAAGTATGTGGATGCTGTTCCGAGCTCAACATAATGTTTTCATAGGTTAGTCAATGAGCAGAGCTTGGACTAGTCCACCCTTCTCATGTGCTGGGTGACTCTAAATAAAGCGGACAATGGATTTAGCTGCATAGCACATCAAGACTCCCTTCTGGATCCCCGAACTTGGGTGGGGCTCAAGAAAATTCTGCAGTAGGCTCTTTTGTGACAGCCGAGATAGTCATCGCCAAAGATTTGGACAAGGGAAGTAGGGCAGTTTCAACTGCCCTCCCTCCGGCCCAACCGGCCAGGAAAGCTACCTGTGGCCATATGCTGCTGCTCATATGCAGGAAGGGAGCCATGACCCTGAATTGAAAGAGGAATTTTTTCCAAAATTACTTACTCCAAATTCCCAACCCGAATCCTAAATGCCAAACCTAAGTGGATGCCTCCAAGGTGCCGCCAGCAGCAGTAGCTTCTGCCCCATCAACACCCGCAACCTCCTCCTACTTCCTGCTTATGCTTTTACTGCCCCCTTCTCTGACATGCTCTCTCCAGTCTTGTACCTTGTGATAAGGTCTCCCGAGAATCAACAGAAGCTCCCCGACCCCAGTCTCCAAAGTCCGTGGTACTTCCACGAATCGGTCCTCGCATCCTTTCCCTTCTTAGAAGGACCCCGAACAACATTTTACCCGAAGCAAAGAAACAAGGGAGCTCTGAAAAGCCTCTCCTCCTTAAGAATAAATATAAATGATTTCGCAACTCGAGTTTGTACTCGGGACCACCGTGTACAGTCACAGAGGCCCGGCACGGCACCGGCCGAGGCGTGCGGCGCGGGGCGGTAGCAGACCCCGGAGCTAGAGGTTCCTACATCCCGACCCCGGCAACTCCAAGTTCCGGAAGCCGCGATCGGCAAGTTCGAGGTAAAACGTGCCCGCTGTGTGAATCCTGCGTGAATGGACGACGATGGACGGGGCTGCGTCGCCGCGAGCCTCACAAAGCGTGAGGCAGAGAGAGCGACTGTCGGGTACAGTAGCGAGGGCACTCAACCTCGCTCGGTACCAGGAGTCACCTAAACCATACTTCCGATTAATCTACGCCTCGTATTACCCAAAAATTATTCACGGGAAAAATTATATCCCGGGCATTACCTCGGCCAAAAACATTAACCGCATCGAAAATGATAAGCTTTCCAACTTCCGGCGGCTTCCGAGGGTGAAACACTCGCCGGGGCATTAACGGAAGGAGGGAACTGAATAAGCGGGCGACGAAGAAAGCAGTCCATGATGTGCTTCCTCGGCCTGACTCCTTTGTCTTTACTGTACCAATCCGTGCTTCTTAATGACCGTGGGAATTAAACGTTATTTTCTGCACACTGTGCTGGTTTTCGGGAAAAGTGCTTTGCAGTAAAACTCCAGGATTCTAGGAGATATTCTCTATTATCTGCCGGACGAAGCCGGAGTAAACGCTGGGAATTTTCTCCTAAATACTCTCGGCCTAGCAGAATCAAATCCGTGCGACATAACTCTTAAAGCGAAGCGTCTCGCAGTGTCTCGGCTCGTGAATGGCTCCCTGTCCGTCCTTTCTCCCGAAGGATTACCGGCTCAGAACCAGGGTCTCGCACGGTTGTCGCAGACGCGCCGACGTTGCCACGAGTTAACCACGGTGCGGTGACTGCAGTCAGCAGTGCGTCTCATTGCCCACTGTGCGCTAGGCAGGAGTCGACGGGCGAGCTTCGCGCGAACTCCAATTCGCCCAAAAGCGTCGACCTCTTCCAATCAGCCAGGCAACGCGCGTCGTCGCCGCAACTCCTGATACAGTTCCAATGAAAGCTGTCTTCAGTCGTACGGCCCGCACCCTATTTCGGTCTTGAACTGCTCCCGTCCTCCTTAAAGAACTTTCACCACCGCTTTGTCTCGAGGATGGATTCCTCCTGAGAGTTTTCCAGTCAACCCAATCTTCAGATCTCAAACCAGTTTCAGGCCCACGATTCTCCAATTCTAGAATTCATTGCAAGGTATTATCAACAATCGGTGTGGCTCATGCTTGGGAGAATAGTTCTTTGCATGAGTTTCATAGAAATGCTCTTATTCATTGTATATAACGTGATGGATAATATCGAAGGCACCCCTGTCAATTTTTAGTTTCCAATTTGATCTTAATTATAAATACTTGTCTAGAAAAAGACACACT